GTCCTCAGGAATGGCAACGCATGGGAGGTATTATGGGCGAAACAGTATACTTTGTTATGTCCATGGTACTGTTCATGCCTATAGGCGACGGTTACCATTTTCCATCAGGTGGGCCGTCAGCTTGTTTGCCATTCTAAGTTGTATAAAAAAAATATCAGTAATAGTCACGCTTGGTAGGCGGGTTGGCAACCATAGTTTCGTGATATTTTAAGAGGGACGCTGCTGCCCATCGTTCGACCATTAAGACAAAGGGACTATTATAACTGGTTTTGCCACACAGTTGTAGATTTTCTGTGAAACATAATCTTAGTAAATTTATATATTTAAGTAAAAAAGTGTGAAAACCGTATCCAATTTGGTGCAGTAGTTTTTGTGTGATGCCAAACAAACATAAAGACAGACAAATAGATAGACCAATTTTCTTAAAAAATATTTTTTTGTCTTCTAACACCCTTATTATAAACTATCTATCTATCCTATTTAAGAGCTGCGCTCTTGTCGGTGGAGCTCTTGCCACTCACTACGATTTTCAGCGAGCCTCTTCACCTCTTACCCGACTTATAAACTATATACATCATATATTTTTTTCTTAAATATATCCCATGTACAGAAATCGTCTAGGTATTTACAATTTTACTATATTAGTAAGATTTTTCATAATTTTATTTCAAAATTATGCGAAATCGGTCATCACTCTAAAGTAACCATTATTTGTTACGCAACTTAGAATGGTAAACAAGCTGATAGTTCACCTGATGGAAAGTGGTAACCATTACCTAATGACATAAATAGGACCATGGACGTAATAGAGTACACTGTGTCGCCTATAATACCTTTTATGCGTTATAATTCCTGAGCACTAAAGGTTTTATGCCTCTGTTTCCTGTAATTTTATTCTTATATCCTACCCTTCAAACCGAAACATGCATGCAAACACAACTGCTTCATGGCAGAAACACGAATGGGACAGTGGTACCCAAGCAGATAACTATGCAAAAGACCTAGCAACAAAATAAAGATAGTTTCGATACTATTTATAAATAAATACTCCTACAAAGCATTAGCAACGCGCTCGGACAGTAACCCGTTCTGCTTCATTCTACATCTTCAATCTCGCATGATAGCCAAAATAAACATGGCGGATATCTTTGTAATCTCAAAAGAAGACAAGCTATAGGTACAAATAAACAAAACATTCCACATTCTGCTTATAAATAATGACTTTTTAGGAGACTCGCAAAAGGAGGAGTTTTAATTAATACATGTGTATTTTTTTTTGCCAAATGTCGCGCAATTAATTCGCCAATTTTGAATCGATTTTGACGAATCTCTTTGTCAATAGAGTTTAATTCTCTGTTGGTACCGTTTTAAATTTGGAACGATCGAAACTGGTATTTTTATTTGTGAAGCAAAATATAATTTATTGCGTATATGTACAATTTGCTTCTAAATTTTATATTCTAAACTAAAATATTTTTATTCGAACACATTTAAGAAATATGTCGTCGTAAACTTTTTTTTTAACTTTTTTTTATTAATCTTTACCTGACAATAAATGACTACCGATATAATAAGTGATAATAAGTGATCGCCCATAAGCACCCGCAGCATCAGAGCAATTGCAGGTGTGCTGCAAGTCTTCCAAAAGGGAATACGCTATTTTCTTGAAGGTTACGAAATCGTATCAATTCGGAAATATTGCTAATTGTTAATAAGTTTTGTTGCAATTTAATTAGTTATTTTAGCGGAGCAAAATTTTTTTTTATTATTTTTAATTATATACGCATGCATTCAGATAGAAAAAGAGATCACACACCCACACGCACTGGCTGTAACATCTCATGTATGCATTCGTAGAGTGCAGGAGAAAATTTTACGACACAATTGATTATTTTAAAAGAAAATGTTGGCACTATCAAGAAACCGGTGTCTGGTTTGTATTAACAAATAAAAAGGACTTAATTCTAAACAGTCGACGATGGATATGTATACAAGGTGTCAAATAAGGATTTATGGTTGCACCGTTCGTGTATTCCGGGAGATAAATATTAGAATACATGCACACGTGTACAATCGACCTTCCCAACTGGATGAACGAACTTATTATTTTTAGATATCTTCTTAACACCTGCCCAGTCCGCGAACTTTTAATTTCGTCTCAAATGTACCGAATCAGCTGCGCAAAAGGTATCTAAATATAATAATAAATAGTTTTGTGGCTTATGGCATTGGAATTCGCATTTGAGATCATCGCAAACATTGATCGGTACGTACATGTTAAATTCCATCGTGTTTCGTCTATTACGAACCTAGGATGGAGGAAAAGTCTTAAAAAATAAACAGCCAGCATATTATGTATACATAATATATATAATTTTACCGTGTGATCCCGGTTTAGAATAGGCAACCTCTTTTTTCTGTGGATGACGATGAAGGAGACTAAGGGAATTTATTGGTAGAAGGATGTCCGTGCTTATTAAAACATTACTAAAAGTCTAGCTTTTACAGAGTACAGCATGGAGTTCTTCAGATTTTTATGGGGGTAAAGAGGTTTCTTCAGGATCGGCAACACGCACGTAATACCCCTGGTATTGTAGAAATTCATAGGCTACAATAACCACTTACCATCAGATGGGCCGTATGCCTGATTGCCACCTGTATAAGAAAAAAACTGCAATTGGCAACACACCTGCCAAGCGTGGCGACTACTGGCAAGGCCGCCCTCATGGGGGAGCAGTGACATGATGATGATATATTAGACAGCATGACAAATAATGTGACAATGTTTTGTTAGGATGTACAATATTTTGAAACTATAAAATGAAATTACAGTAAGAATACCGAATTAATTATAATTAAAATATATTTACAGGGATAATCAAAAGTACTAATAACATGTTTAATACAATAAAATAGTACTATTTACAATGTTAGACTATTTATTAAGTACTAGCAATTAAGCATTTGTAGAAGTCTAGTATCAGTCAAGTCTAGTATCTTTACGAATGCCTACATACTCGTTTACATAGAAGCTTTAAGTACAACGCAAAAACAATATTTAAAATTAGATAGTAGTTAGCATATAATGTCGATAGATGGCGCCTCTGTTAGGTTTAATGACGTTTGAAAAATTGGTAGAGCAATTTGCAAACTAGTAATATTCCTTCCGTGGTGTAAACAGGAGTACATTTGGCCAGGTTAGTAAATAGATATAAGTTCAAATCTCATTAGATATAACTGATATAAGGAGAAATTTTTAAATCTAGCAAATTGTTCGTGAATGCAACTGCGCAACGTTAGGGAGCTTTTATTTGTAAAATGCTTATAATATGAAACACAATTTCGCTATGATGGGCCAACTGACCTTACTTCATCCTCATTATTTCATCCTTCCCTGGTGCCTTGCTATTGTATACCGTTAGCATTAAGTCGGTACACTATTCCATTACCAAGGGGAAGGGATTGTTGGTAATGCACACTACCAGTCTCATTGTTAACGATATATCCTAATAGGTCGATTCTCCCGTAATTCTAGTAGTCCCGTAGTGCTGAATTTCAGATGTATTCATCACGATGGGCTAACTGACCTGCCTTTTCATTCTTACCTATCATCCCCCACTAGTGTTGAGACCAAACTAAACCAAATAAATAAACAGTAAGTTTACTTTTACACTTGGTATCACAATAACGATGTGTAACTGGTTCTCAATATTTATGGAAACAGTATTCCCTAGCAAAACAAAAAACTGCCTCATTGCTAGCTATCAGATTGACCTTCACGCGGCTCCCTCCGGAAACCATCATCGTTAATAATTATTGAAGTTGTCACGATGAGCCAGCTGACCTGCTTCATCCTCACCGTTGTCCCGTTATTTCATTTTCACCATTCCATTATCACCTATAAAAAAAACTACCAACTAGGCAGTTAAAACTACCAAATTCTACCATTATGGAAACATTAAAATGGCAGTCAAAATAAAACATTATAACAGCATTTGTTATAATAAAGTTCAATGTTTATTAATAAAGTTATCTGGTCAAAACTAATAATTAATATCGCATAAATGTATTTTTATGCCTACATTACTTAATTTGTTTTCATAATGATGTTGGTGTGGTGTCTTTTAATCAACTGTAATGATAAGGCGTTAATTAATTTTATATCACCCTGTGATATTGTGTGCCCTTATAGCACGAACACGCATTGGGTGACATTTAGTATCGTGGTAATTTCTTTAGTATTTATCAAGCTTTTTTTTTATATATATAATGAATCTGTATACAACCCGTCTAATGGCAAGCGGTGGCAACTGTTTACGAACGATTGCAAGCTACTAAAGCTACTAAAGTAGTAAACTGTGTTAGTGATACGTTCACGTACTAACACTAGTGTGCCTAGTGTCCCTAGGGACACGACGATGTTGACTACCCAATTTATATCGTATACCATTATCCCCTTATCTATCGTATAACCTTAAAACTAAAATGACACGTAGCATAAAGATTGTGTCCCACAAAGAAAACAATGGGTCTACTATGAAATGAAATTTCGAAATTTCGGACTCAATTTCGTATTTTTGTTTATACCAAAATCGGACCAATAAATGGAGTTTAACATTTCGTTCGTCGTACATCCTATCATAAAAGTCAAAAGGAACAATATTTTAACATTTTTAATATTTCCAAATGGCATGTATTATGTAATTTTAACATCAAATTTTTGTTTCGTTTGGCTCCGAAATTTCGTAAAAACATTTCATGGTTGGGCTTCTGACTTCAATTGTGACAAAACCAGTGCGTTGCCATTCCTGAGGACTCAGGTGTTATTCCTCTGTACCCTGTAAATTCACTGCCATATTCCACTCTTCAAACCGAAACACAGCCATGCAAACACAACTGCTTCACGATAGAAACACGACAGAGGTGCCTAAGCAAACGATTTTCGTACAAAATGTACCTGTGGTAACTTTTAATTAATTGAATATTTTCTTTGTTTTCAGATTCGCACCAAATATGACGTGCACGCGAGAGGACTGCTACAAATATTATCATCGAGCAAGCCGTTACATGCATAGCGATGATGCAAATTCTCTAAGGATGGTTCCCATCTTATACCAAAAGTATTAGAAAATAAATTACATGCGTCCAAAAAAAAACCAAACACTTAAAATTTTATTTCTTTAAATTGACATAAATCATTAAAACAAAAAAAAAAAAACAGAATCATATAAAAAACCCTTCAAACTTGTCATAAATGCTGTAAATACTTATATATGAATTAAATTAGAATTCAGGAAAGGCAATACAAAAACTATTTAGGCCTAGGTTCAGTTTGAGAACATCTGTTTCAGATTTTATTACAACGTTAACAAAAACTGTGTATGGCGATGTGTGAGTGGGTGATTACATATAGTTTGCAGAGTGGCGGCTCTGTACTGCTATATTTTGAAGAAACCATTGAACGGTAGAATGGGATGGCTTGTAACATTGTATAAAATCTGAAATTATAATTATTTATAATCGATTTTCCTTATGTATTAACCTTGGATTGTTTAACTAATTTAATGCGGGGGGAAGGGATTGTTAGTAACGGGATCTAACAATCCCATTGCTAGCAATATTCCTCCTAGAAACCATCGTGATTAAACCTTGTGGAATATCATCTAATATCTCTCACTGGTGCCTTACCAGTGTATACCCATAGCGCATGTGGGGTTACCATTTCATTACCACCCATTAAAAAAAAACTAATTTAATGCAATACCGGCGTCAACTACATTCATAATTATGTATAAAGTTTCCTATTGAGTTCTAAATTAGTTAGACAAACCCTAATACCTGAGTAAATCCGATTTAAATAATTATAATGCAGTATGACTCACGATAGTTATTATTATGGAAATCCTGTGAAAGTAGTGCAAGGTTTTTCTCGTTTACTAGAATGAAATTAGTAATTTACGCTCGTTTATTACAAAAATTCAAATATGGATTAAATTAATTAACTATATACCTAGCTTCTAAGATAGGATATTAACTAAAATGTCTAATAAAACTACTTTAGCTATTAAATATTTCGTCTCATACTTTTTATGTTTAATTTTAATTTAAAAATATCGTACAATAGGTAAAAATAGCGTCTTATTTAGAATCTAAGGTTTTATTATATAATTTAATGATGACAGACATATTTTTGTTAATGATAAAATGTATAATCACGTAGCTACATGGTCGTAGCTAGGGGGGAGGGGGCATTGACGGGCAATGTTCTACCTTAAAACGCCTAATGCCCTACCTTAAAATTTTCATTTTAAGGTAGGGCATTGCTTTTCGGCCTCAGGCCACTTAATTATGGGTAGTTATTTTGTTATTTTGCTCTACTTTAAACTTGGGTCTAGCTACGGCCCTGCTTAGCCATAAAACTTTACTATTAATTTTTACTTATATTCATCTCTATGTATATATATTACAAACAATATATACTCGTAGAAGGTAAATACTCGTATTGCATAAAAAAGTCATATATCTCATAAGCCTGTTTTATTTCCTTTTACACTTTCGTGTTGTATGATATATGGTTTATAACAGACGGGAATTAACCAAAGTAAAGATAACTCAGGAAAAATATCATAGTTTACCTAAATAATCGTATAAATTCCCTTTCTCTTATAAACCATAAACCAGTTTTAGATATTGAGATGTTTATTGTTTTTAAATGTCTTTAAATGTTCACTGCAGAACATAAGCCTCCCCCTTGCGGGTGTTTTACCAATGGTTCCAAAGCCTGGCAGGCGGATTAGCAACCGCAGTTAGGCTTTAGAGATGTTTTAAGAGCTGTTGTCTCTTCTTCGCCCTCTCTTAGTCACCTCTTATGACACCCACGGGAAAGGGCGGGGTGGCCTATTCTATGCTGGGACCACATGCCCACCTTCTTTTTTTTTTGTTAGTGTAAAAGAAGATGACAAATTTACAAGATAGTGACAAAACATTCTAATAGTTAAAATAAGTTAGTTGGTTTTAATTTTTATGAATATGAGGGTATTTATGAAATTTATTTCAAAATACAATAATTATAGATTATCACTTCTCTCAATTTTATTTTTAATTTATTTCTGTTCTCAGATACGAGACGCCACAGCCACTTCAAGGGGCTGAAAGTCATCAATTTCCGGTTCACCAACAAAGTACTCCAGAATGAGGTGGACGAGGCGGTCCTCAACATCCATCTGCAGGAACTGGAGCCCCGGCAGAACACGACGGTCGATCCTGAGGAGTATTTCACCGTGACATTACAAGTTAACAGGGTCACAAGAAACAGCCAGGGGAACAAGGCCTCTGTACCATATACTGATAACTCAGTGAAGATGTCCAGAAGAGACCTGAGGATTGGGAAGTGGCTGAAGATAAATGTGACGAACATGGTCGCGGAATTCTTCAGGCTGCCGAGGGAGAACCTAGCTATAGTTGTGAGAGTACAAGACTCAAAGAATAGGATGAGTTTAGTTGTGCCACATCCTATTTCAGAAATAAATAATGCTTTGGTAAGTTGTGTTAATTGTGTTATTTAATTTCATCATCATCATCATCATCATAACTGTCCAAAGCTGAACATGGGCCTCCCCCATAAGGGAGGCTTTGCTGGTAATGCCACGCTTGGCAGTGGGTTGGCCACCGCAGTACGGCTTTGATGTTTTAAGACGGACGCTGCGGCTCATACCTCGTCTATTAAGTTTCCTTTGTCGCCTCTTACAATACCTACGGGAAAGGAAGGGGTAGCCCATTTTAATTTTTTTTATTATTTTATTTTATGCAACTTGAATGGCAACAAAGCTGACGACCCACCTGATGGAAAATGGTAACCGTCGTTTATAAACATGAGCAGTACCGTGGTCATAACAGATTGTACTATTTCCCCCATGATACCTCCCATGTGTTACCATTCCTGAGAACTCAGGTATTATACTTGTGTACCCTGTAAGTTCACTGCCATATCCCACACTTCAAACCGAAACACAGCCACGCAAACATAACTGCTTCACGATAGAAACACACAGAGGTACTACAAACGACTTTTGTACGAAGTCTCCCTCTGGTATTCTATATCGGGACCACACGGCTAATGTTATATAGTCTATTAATATTTAGTTTTTTTTTTATTTATATTATAAATTAAAACGCATTATATTTCATACTCAATTGAGATAGATCGCACTTGTCAACATAATTAGATGACATAGGTCATTCTGTCAATGAACTGCACTGATAATTTTTTTTTTTAATTGTAACCTATATCCGTAATGGCATAATAAAATTTTATGATTTCTAAATATATAAAACATAACAAAGATAACAATACAATTTTCATTCAAACGTCTGACGTCCGATATTTAGACTTACAAAAGAATTGGTCAAAAGAATTCCGCTATGTATTGGTTGCTTGGTTAGGATTATTGTTTAACTACAATAGCTGTTTTCCGCGGTTTTGCTTGATTGTATCATTATTAATATTATAAATGTGAACGTGACTTTGTTTGTTATGTTATAACGGTTTAACCGCTTAACCAATCGCTATGAAAATTTATATGTATACACGTACTATACGGGATAGAGGAGGATATAGAATTTTTATCCCGGTAAACATATCTCGGGCACACAGACGAAATCGCAGGTAAAAGCTAGTGAGTTTTACCTGCCTGTGTTGGGGGGAAGGGATTGTTAGCAATGGGGAGGCTAGTCCCCATTGCTATCAATATACTTTATCAGGTCGACCTCCACGCGGTTCCCCCTGGAAACTATCGTGACTAATTTATTATTGAATTCGTGACAATGGGCTGACCTGCCTTTTCATCCTCACCTATCACATCTCACTGGTGCCCCGCCAGTGTATACCGATGGCGCGGGCGGGGTTACCATGCCATTTTTAGCGATAAAAAAACCTACCTGAGTTAGAAATTTCATTGAAATAAAATTTAAAAAAAATTCGTTCATCCGTTTAAGCGTAATTAGGTAACAAACGTCTACCGATGTACATCTTTACAAACTTTCATATTTATTATTAGAATTCCAGTTCCAATTAATATGCGTTCGACATTTAGAGGTATTACAAAACGTGGACAGTCCCTCGCATACTAATAGTAGCGGAATTGAAAAAAAAAAACAATAATACTAACTAACCAGTGATATGGAATAAATAAAATAACATCAAATTTTTTATAACTTTAAAATATTATAAAAAATTTGAGTTATTTTGAGGTCAGTCCTCCGCACCAAATTTTGGTAAACAAGATCTTCTTTAAATTCTATACACATTTATTAAGTACGCCAATTTATTTACGTGTCACTCATGTTTGTTACAGATGCCATATATAGAAGTAAGTCTACGAGACAATTCACACAAACGTACAAGGCGGACGATCGGCATGGATTGCACGGAGAACACCAAGGAGGTCAGATGTTGCCGGTATCCCCTCGTCGTCAATTTCGAAGAGTTCGGCTGGGACTGGATCATAGCTCCTAAACTATACGACGCAAATTACTGCAGCGGGGAATGCCCGTTCAGTTTCCTCCAGAAGTTCCCCCACACTCATATAGTCCATTTAGCGGCCCCTCAGGGCAGCGGCGGTCCCTGCTGTGCTCCAAGAAGAATGAGCAGCATCTCCATGCTGTATTTCGACCATGACCTGAACATCATTTATGGGACAATACCCGGTATGGTGGTGGAGAGCTGTGGCTGTTCATAGCAATGTCCGCTTACCATAGATCGGCTACGAGTGTACGTACTTGTAAGAATTTATTAGGTATTTATAGAATTTTATTATTAAATTCCTTAAGTCTAATACTATTTTAATCCAAATGAAAACCGGATTGACTTTTGGAACTAGGTATATTTATTTGACAAGAATCCTCGACTACTTATTTCGGGGACCTAAAGTCCTCCTTGAGTTGTCTCTTTGTATAAATCATGCACTTGTAATGCATATGTGCAATAAGGCATGTGATTTTAGAGTTTTATTGCCAAGAAATATTTGCGCTACGATTTGTCTATCCTCAGACTTAAAAGTCTGGGAAGATGAGACAAATACAATAGGCAATTTTGTCGTTCATTCACGAATGACCATGGTGATATTTGGCCCACTTCCGTATCATAGTCGCCTATATAAATTAATATAAATAATAGTCTGTCTACACTTAAAGTTATCGTGCGTAATCTTATTTGCATATTTTAAACAATTTTGGACTGAATCTTCTTGGACAAATTTTTACACGCTTATCTACATAACCACATTTGCGTAAATATGCGCAATAAAAATCTCGACCGCTTGAATGGGACCTCGGGCAGTATAGTAATACGCTTTTGGGTCTTCGAATGGTCCTGAAATTAATTATTCTTGACGAAAAAATAGGAATAGAGGTATGTACGTAATGTCAAACCGGTTTTCATCTTGAAATATTCATAAAATGTGTTCATCGTATTTGTGATTCAAAATGTAATTACAATAATTAAGTATATCAGTTATTAAATTACTCAATCAGGTTTTAAACACAATTGGTATTTTTAAAATTGATAAACGCTCGTAGCCACCTTTAGTGTAGTCTATCGCTATGTTGTGATATATTTGGTTGGAGACTGTGGACCTTTTGTGTTGTGTGCAGTGAGTGTTGACATGTAAATTTATTTACATTTGTACCTACATCTATTAGTATAAATTCAATTTTAAATAAGACGTCTGGTTCACAGCTGTAACTATTTAATCTTGATATTATCTAACGATAACAAATCTATAAAACATTTTACTGGATTAGAACATTTAAACAAAATAACTCTAAAACCCCTATTAAATTCGCTAGAGACCTTCATTATAAAGTGTATATTGTCACTACAATTAAGATTTCACTTGAAAGAAAGTGACGAAACAGGAATAATATAGGTTAATAGAAACTGATAGAAGTTTGACCTTTTATGAAGGGGTTTTTCAAATAAGCTCTAACAGATCGAGATATTTCTATTAGGTTTTTTTTTTTTTCAAAAACAACCGATTGTAAAAATGATCAATCGATGCATTTAGATTTTTACGTAGCAATTTATCTTATTAGCTTATTTATTTGGATGTTCTAAAATAACTCGATATCGGTACGATTAATAGAATACTTATTATTTTTTTAAATCAATAATCATTAATATTTATATCACTGTAACCTTGTGAACTCTCATGGATGAAATAGATAGGAACGTATAAAAGTTCAAAGTGATAATGCATTATCATAATTATTTATAATATGCAGAAATGTGACAAGAAGATTTCTGGGCCAACTCTTTTCAACACAATACCGCATTTATTTTTCAATATAAGTCTTATTCTGTAGTGCTATAAGTGCATCATTTCAGTGGCATTCAACTTTCAATATTGTAAATTGTACAATAAGCATATACGATCATTTTTCATTTATTTACTACGTATTATGTTGGCATATTGTTGTCAGTTCTGGGGAATTAAGATCATAGGTTTTCCTTGTATTTATAGGTATTTTATTCTTCTTTTCGACGTTTTTCTTATAAAATGTAATTCGTATTCTAAGACGCAATATTTATTTCGAATAATTGTGTACCTATTTTGACGAGGTTTGTTTCCTTATGTATACCTAATCATGTCTATGCTGTCTCATATCTGTTGATACTTATCCATTCATATCAGATACTCTACTTCTTAATAGCTCTCTATACTTATTAATATGAACTACACAATTTAAATGTAATTTTAAGTAGATTTTTTATTTTTATATAATTCGATGTTTTACGTACGTTTTGATACTCCTTTTGACATGGTTTGGATCTCGTTCAAAATTTTATATGTTTTATATTATTAGGAAACTAGCGGGTGGTGCTTAAAATAATAGGTGACGTTTTATTAATTATATAAAGTAAAAAAATAAATATATCAGTACCTACCCAGTCTTTAATTATAAATATATATATTAATTGTAATGAGACGTATTATTTTGGCGTAATTAAAATAATAAATAGATATCTCTTTAAAGATATTTTTTTAATGTAAGTTTATAGAAAAATATGTCGGATGCTAGAATTTTCTAAAATAGATCTCATTCAAGGCAAATGTGTTTGTGCCTTCACAAAGATCTCCCAATTCTTTGGATGGATTGAAATAAAAGAAAAATTAACGTGTTTTTTTTTTACAAATATACTATAAGCTTATGGTGTTAGTGTATCATCGTAACTTGATTATTGTCAGCAATAACTAACAATTTCGTGTTGTAAGTTTAAGAAATAAATTTTCACAATTATACAATTCGTATTATTTTGTGGGTGTAAAGTCTTTTTTTATATGGAAATATATGTCTATCAATGAACTATATTGTCTATTTATTTATACAAATTTAATAATCCATTTGAAAAAACAAACATCGTAATCGTACCAGATTTTGTTGGTCAATAAATATAACAATAAAATGTGGTACTAAAGGCTTAACTTCCTTTTTTTAACTTAATTATTAACCGATTTGAAAAACGAGGTTCTGAATTCGTTTGTATTTTTTATGCTTGTTAACACATATTTGGAATATTCTTTTTTATCTGAAAGGATATACTTATAGATTACTCCCATTTTATCAAAATCGACTCAATAGTTTAGATTTTAAATAAAAATTATCTGATTTGCTATAATTAAAGAGGAGGGAGAGGGAGACTTTGTACAAAAGTCGATTGCTTGGGTACCTCTGTCCCATTCGTGTTTCAACCGTGAAGCAGCTGTTTGCATGGCCGTGTTTCGATTTGAAGGGTGGGATATGGCGTGAATTTACTGGGTACAGAGGAATAACACCGCATGGGGGGTATCATGGGCGAAACAGTTTACTCTGTTATGTCCATGGTACTGCTCATGTTTATAGGCGACGGTTACCACTTTCCATCAGGTGGGCCGTCAGCTTGTTTGCCATTCTAAGTTGTATAAAAAAATTTAAGTCGGGTTTTTTTTTTGTGATAAACGATTTTAATTATTCATTAAATATTTTAAATAGTTGTTCCAAAATAAAAAAAAAAGCTACTTAATATTATTAATATGAAACACGTCTGTTAGCTCTATTGAATTAATATCCAATTTTAAACGATTATTCCTGATTTGACCTTGGGTTGTACGAGCGCGGCTTGACCTTTTACTTCCAGAGGAAAGAGATGTTAATAATAGACATCTATCAGTCCCATTGCTGGCAATATACTCTATCAGGTCGATCCCCACGGGTTCCCTCTGAAAACCATCTTGGGTAATTCTTGTGGATTTCGTCACTCCATTGCTGGCAATAGGAATGACCATAGCAGATCATATCTATGTGGTTTTCCTTGGAAACCATCTTGGGTAATTCTTGTGGAATTTGTCACGATGTATTAACTGATTTTTCATTCTCACCTTTTATTGTATTATACCGTTGATAGTATTATCGATAGTGCGGGCAGTGTTACCTTATTTCATTTTCTCTTATTAAAACAAAGACCTATAATGTCTTCGGTACCCGCTAATGAATTATTTGCTAATAAGAGCTGACTACCCCATCTGAGATTATAGTCGTGAGTATATTACAAGCTTGTGTACACTTAACAAGGAAGTGAAATAAAATAAAATATTTTTCATTTGTGGATATTCTCACAGAATAGCCACTCTTTATTTATATAAACTTTAAATTATTTACACATTTCGTTTCTGCTACTTTACATTTATTATATACTTGTCAACGTTTTTAAAATACAATCAAAACAAAAAAATATATATATACTTAGTAACAGAAATACACAAGACATAATGTACACTTAATATTATATTAAGACGTGGGAAAAATAGATGGACTAGTATACCCAATTAGAAAAAATAAAATTTCCCCACAATTTCAAATTACTCGCATTATGTTAAAGTATTTTATAAATTTCAGCCACGGTACAACATTATTTAAAAATTATTCCGTTACATTAAATATAAAATGGCCGAAAATTTATAACAATACCCCAGTCTAAAATATTGCTTAATCGATTCAAAATATACATGAAAAAATGTTGTTACACTTCTTTTTTTTTTTATTGTACGTAATATCAATTCTGCCAACACAATTCCTTTTGTACTTACTGTTTTAATGGAGAAAAAAAAAAAACTTTTACATGGCATTAACAGAATTTAAATTTACCTTCGTAAAAATAATATATGTATAATATATATTTTTAATATTTTTTTTTCTTTTAGTAAGTATTTCATAACACTAGTTTCTAATGTACAGAAAAGTGCACAACATCAAATGGTGTCAGTCTATAATAGGTTGGATGGATTTTTTCCGAAATTCCTTTAAAAATAAAATTTAAACATTAAAAAAGCTGAAGCACTGGAAATAAATATAGCTACAATAAAGCTTAGCAAATGAATACATATCATAAAGCCAAATCAGGAGGAGTATTACTATCACAACGTTCATAACGACTTGAAGGGTATTTTATGACAGTATAAAACAAATATGGCGGCAGTAAACTGTCAAAAATTTGTGATTTTTATGTTTGATTTTCATAAAGGTACATACTTTAATGACAAAAACAACTTTCTTTTTAAATTACTTGTATGTTTTAAAAGTAATTTCATTAAAATTAAGTTGAAATACCGCTCGTTTTGAAATTTTTTAAACTTAACCTTTATTATTTAAATATAGGGTTAAATTCTATGTAACTTCTCTGGTAATTACTTGGATTCTCCTCCTGCTAGTGCTTTGAATACATAGTCATTATACAGCGTGATGATTTACCATTTACTTCTCATTTATGGTAAATACCAGATTTTTTTACCACAAATGTGACAAACAAATATACAGTACATTTGATAGTAAATGATTAATGGCCTGTAGATGCCTGCAACACCAAGTATGTTGTAAATGATGTTTTTTTAATTAAAGAAATGTATTTTTTTTTTGGTTATTACCAAAACGATGAATTAAATGAATGAAATAATGTCAACCATTTTACTTTTGAATGAAGATGATCACTGGTAAAATGGTTACCACAGATGATAATTTCTGCAAAAGTATGAATTTTATTTCAAAAATTTTAGTACAATATTCGAGGTCATTTCTTATTAGCAGTTGTCACTATAAATTGAAAAGTAAAATAATATATTCGAATAAATATATGTCAACTATTACAACTTTGATCTACCATGATCACAGGTAAAATGATCACCATAAATGATCTTTATTTTAAGAAATTACTATTTTTTATTAAATATAATTCGAATGCTTGTTTCTTCATCGTCCGTCAATTTGAATTTAAATGAAACTAAAAGTAATCAAAATAATATTCGAGTTTTAAATACATTGGAGAAAAATGTGCAAGCAATAAACCATCATTTTGTATAATATTAATAATGGCAGTGTTTTTGTACATTATCCAAGATGGCGCGCAAGCGTAACTTAATCTAAAGTGTACAAAAGAAACATCACAGATTATCGTACCTACATTAAGGGAAAATGCCATGATATTTATTTTTTATCTAAAGAAATCGCTGATAGAAACAGTAAGGGCACACCGGAAGTACTATGAGTCTAGTACTAAACGCTATTCTTATATACAAAATTGCTGTCTGTCTGTCTAACTATCCTCAGAACTTGGGCAAGTTGAAAAATAAATCTATTACTATATTAACTGCAATTATTATCATTTGACTAATATTCGATTTGTTTTTATGTTACACAAATTCTCAGAATGTTTAGACAGAATAAGGGCGGTTACACACGTATGCTGTCACCGTGTCGTTGCTTTTAACATTTGGAAATTAGATTGTCTTTGGGGCGCTATTAACGCGTGCGCAAACGCCCTAAATCTCTCCCGTACAAAGTAAAATATGTGGTCGCAACACTGTCACTTGAGCGTTTATATTTAAATAGGATCACAGTGGAAAAAGTGATTTTATTATAAGTTTACATTCTATACTATAAATATGTTATTTCAACGTCCATGTTATGGCAAGTTCCTACAATAAACGCTATCACTTATGTATCGTGTCACTAAGACATACTATATCTACGTCCATAGAAAAATTCATTCGCTATATCTGTACAGTACCGTCCGTTCAAGTCTATAAAGTCACTAACACTCATATTATATATACGCGAGCTCACTATGAACTCGATCGCATTAATCACATTATATCGAGTTGATTCAATTCGATTTTCAACACGTTTAGGGTTGCAACTTAGAAACTTGGTTGCGAAACAGTCCTAGGGTTACCGCTTTGAGATTGGTACACGTCGTAAGGATTGTGTGGCTCCAAATGGCAAACGACGTTGTTCTCACCGTTCAGGACTGCCGCCAGCGCTCTCATGTTGCTCTCTTGGGGCTGATGATAAGGATGCATCAATCTCCCGCTCTCGTAATGTCTAGGGTCGTAACGCTCCGCCGTATCCCACTTTCCATACTTCCCGTAAAGCTCCTGTTCGTGATGGTGCCTATCTCCGGGACTATATGAGATTAGCGGTCGATGATCGCCGAAAAACTTAGAGCCGGAAGAACCATGCAACGCAGGGTTCTGTCTGCAGTTATCCGGACCAGAATTGTCGTCAGATACATCAGACATCATTGTCTCGTTTCTTTCGATCTCTTCGTACACCGGATCGTCTTGTATCACACGGAATTCTTGTTCAGATCCGCGCCTGTATATTCTCCCTTGCTGCGACCCTATTTCGGAATACGTGTGATTGATGTTCTGACTCCCGTGGTGGTGATGATGCTTGCGCCGTCCTTCATCCTTGTAGTGTTTCCTAAAGATCATCTCTTGACTTCCCGGGGAATGTTGGGATATGAAAACATGGGGGTTTCTGAAGTCATGGTTGTAGCTTCTGGTAGTTTGGTACCCTTGGTGATGGAGGGGACTATCCTCATCCTTGATGCCGTGACGAGGGGAGCCAGGGGCGAGGGGGACGTCGCACTCGCTGTACGGAGCGTGGATGTGGTTCTGCTGGGCCAACTGCCTGGAGAGTGTGTCGTGATGAGGGAGCGTCGCTGTGTTGGAGTGACTCTTAGAAGAAGTGTTCTGTAGAAACGAGAAATGTATCAGTATTTTTTTAAAGTGTATGGCGTTCTGGGCAACGGGAATTTGATGAAGTCAGTGCAAGGCGAGACGCTTCGACGAAAACTCCGTATTCACATTGAAGAAAACTTTCAGATGAAGTCGAAACAATAGTTGGAATCGAGTAAGTTCATAAAATTCCCGTTGTCCACTTATATGTATGGCATTTGTAGAATTTAAAGAGACAGCTCAATTTGTTCTTTTAATATAGAAAATAACAGAAATATGTGCATATATATTACAGTTAAAACTTTGAATTGGTCAAATGTACTTTTGTATGGAAATATAATTAAAACTGTGTTAAGTTAGAAGTTTTAACCGGTTAGAATATCTTTTGACTATTATTTTTCTTGCAGTTAAAAGTATATTTGACTGATTGGGAGATTTTTTGGTAAAACATGTATAATAAAGAACATAGCTAAGGAAAAATGATTTAAGCAAGTATCTAAAATTAGGAAAAAATAACAAAAAAAAAATGAGAAATTAAAAACATAAAAGTATAAAATTTTCTAATAATGATTAGTTTATTCAAAATATCAGTGTAAAACATTTTCAATAAATCAGGCTTTTTAAATAACAAATTTAAAATATGATATTAATTAGTTGAAATATCTATTTCTAGAAGAGTAAGTCCAGCGTGCTTCTAAGAGTCAGTTATTAATTTAGAATAACATTAACAGAGTAGTATAGGTATCATAAATGTTTACTAATACGTGCATTCCTAAAAAGAAATTATGTATATTAATTTCAAACCTTCAATCCGTTAGATAAACAAGTTTAATGAATGCTATAACCATGCCAATTCATTAACGTTCTGGTGGGGTCTCTCTCCCCATAAGGAAAGGATATTAGCCTAAGATTATCACGCTGGCTAGGTGACTAGGTGTAGGATTTTATTTCGAATTATTATTCTCTTACAGTGAGGTATTATTTCCCTAACATTTTGCGAAACCTTACCGATGAAAAAAAAAAAACAAACCCATTATATTCTTACTCTATTACCACAAAGATGTGCGAGAAGATATTATGATACAGTTGTTTTTATTTTTTTATATAATGTATGACCATAAACGCTCGCAAGACAAGAAATGTAACTCGCGCGTAGGTGCATGAAGCTTTCGAGATCCAGTACCCAATAATTTCACTATCGTATCTCACTGTATAGCAGAATACGACAAACAATCAAGCTTATTGGCAGAAAAGCATCAGATAGAGCAATGTTTTTGCTTTACACCGACTGATCGATCAATAGGATATCACGATTATAAGTTACTTTGGTAGATATCTCGATTATAAGCTACTTTAGTAGATATCACGATTATAAGTTGCTTGTTAAAATAAACATTTCTTAGAGAATATATGAAGTGAAATAAGATAAACAAAATCATATTTACAATGTTTCGAAATCCAATAACAATGATGCAACATACACTCGCACATATTTTAAATAAATATATTAGTTTAATCACACCACTTTCATTATGAGCTACATTATTAATTGTTAACCAGTATTATCTAAGTACTATAAATAAAAATCTACGATCAATTGAAAGTATTCATTTATATTTTTAACAGACTTCAAAGAGGAAAACGTTCTAAATCTACATTTCTAGTATGCTGATTTTTATATACTTTTTTTCACATAAATAAGTAAAGGGACTATTTTGCTTAAAAAGTCGATTAAAAATATATGAAGGTTATACAAAAAAAATTGTGAACACAGAGTTGTTTATAAATTGGCAAAACTATAAAATAGTTATGTGAATATACTACAAAATCGCGTATTTACATTACGAATATCTAAAAGTAAAATCATTTCACATTCACTCTCGCTACTGTAATACAGGAGTAAGTATTTTTACAGAGCTCAAGCTTCATACAAAAAATCAGATGTAGGTAAATCTTTTATAGAAGTATCTATTATGTTGTACGGACATTCATTACAGGTGCATACAAATCTCTTTATTATTCATTAGGGGTAAACACAATGGTCTTAAAAAGTTCAATAATAATTTGCCTACTTGAAGAGTACAATATTTAAGAATTTACAGCACAGCGATGGAGGCACTTCCTTTCACACTGACAGGATTACGTATCGCTGTAGTAGGATCAGCTTCCCTAGACAAATGACAATCAAATTTGTCGATAGATAAGCTTCATTATCGCTCGCATGAGTATCAACTACATACCAGATGTTGTCTTACTCTCTCATGGAAGCGATAGTGATAACATATGTATATATTGATTGATTTTTTTATTAAATCATTTATCTAGGAAGGCTTGCACCAGTTCCATTATAATACGATCTATAGTACTCACATATATGTAAAAATAACTATGTGTGAATCTACCTTCATGGACCTTTTGTATGTACCTTGAGCTCTGTAGTTACTTACTATGTGATTGAAGTGAACATCAATGCGAATCCCTAGATAGACTAAGTGAGAACACTATAGGTTGTGTAATTAAATAGAAGGGGACGGGTGGTACTGATGTAATTGTGTGAAGTTGGATGATCACATGCAAATGCTATGGTTAGGTCACATGCGGTTATAATTGTAGGGTTTCTATGCTTTTGTAAGATCTCTTTTAAACATACACGTAATTGTATACCACCACCGTATTGTTTTAAAATTGATAGATAATATATAAAATTATGTGACATAAATATAATAGTATTAAGTAGTAGTCACAGTATATCAGTGTTTTTAAAATAATATAAAATATAGACAGATATATTAAATATATTTTACTACAGTGACGCATTGTATGTGACTATTATTCATTTACATTTTTATTATAAAAATCACAGAATATATTATTTTAAAATAAATTTAACAGCAAATCAGATTGTTTAATAATTATTATAAAATAATTACCCTAATAATTGAACTCATTTTAGATTTATTTATATGACAAAATTCATGATAGATTGTTTTTATTTTTTATTTTTAGATTGATATTAATTTATTAACACATATTTGTACGATACCTATATTATGATGTTATTTTGTTTTAAATTTATATAGGTATAACATTAGTAATGAAGTGGTAAAAAACATAAACATATTTTCAAATACATAATGTACGAGTATGGACATAATAAAAAACTGAACGGGATTTTATTATAATTATGCATTGCTGAACGTAGGTAAGTCTCTCTATATTTATATAGAATCCCCCACAAGTTGCATTATAATTTATTATTAGCTATTCACTGCGACTTCACATTAAACATATTATCCCTTCTTCCCTAGAGAATTCTGCTAAATCTTTTACGGGGAATTATACAACGTTATAAAAGGAATCTATATTTAAAATTTAAAGTCTAAGTCAAGCAGTTTAAACTGTATGTTAATAGATCAGTCAGTCAATTTATGGATCAAACAGAATAAAGATTTAGACTAAACTATCATCAATAACAGACAATGCAAATATTTTTATAACAAAATTGAATAAAAAATTACACAAACAGCTTTGGAGTACTTTACACATACTTTAGTTTTTGAACAAATTAGGTTGATCGTTAATATCTGAAATTTAACTCAAATATGGCAAAGCCGTACGGCTTCATATAGAGAGATCGGCCAGATTGATCAACTCTGTGGATTATCTTATTTTACTTTACTTTCATTGTATAGAGTGAGATTACATAAACTTGTCTTGATACTTATTAATAAACGTAATAGATGGTACTTTTATATTTCTTCAAGATATTTGACAGTTAGATGGTGATGGCAAGCTGAGATTGAATACCAGCCCACGAACTTTAAAAATTCATATTTGGAACATTAGAAATGTACATTGTTATTTACTAAAGGAAATTGAAATTGAAGCACAATTATTTCAAAGATGACGAAGCCGCGATTATTGCTTGTCCCATCAAAGGCCGAAACGCATAACAAAAGAAAAAAACTTTTATAATTCACATATAAAATTTAGTCTTCAATATTTTTCTTTTTTTTTAAACTTACGGTCAATATGTTATACATAGTCCTTTGAACACAACGCATAAAAAAATTTGCAGAGATCTTACCAAAGCGCTAAAAATCAAACCATAACACTAAGGGCTCACACAAGCTATTCACAGCCCACCCCTCACCTTCCAAACACTGCCACCGTTCGTCATAAGCGCCCAGTCGTTCGCGCCAATCGACGCGGCCAATTTGTTTGAGAAACAAGATGGCGACCGCGATCTCAGATTCTGGTATTCGTTCGGTACTTCGATATTGTTTCTGTAGCTATGCATAGAGGCTATGCTTTGCGTGTGCGATGAACTATGCGGTATATTTTGCGGTGTGGGCACACGGGTGCTTCGTGTTTCGTCGTTCGGGACGTATATAGGAGCAGAAGGCCGTATGTTCCATCTTGACGGCTCCGGTTGTATGTTGTAGCTCTGTTTAGTTTTTTAAATGTTAATTATAGACAATTTAATCGATTTCAAGATTATTTATTTTAAGCTAAGAGACAATATTTAAAGATATATCTGTAGCCAGTAGATAAACAATGTAAAATATATTTTTTGATATGAAACTGATAATTGTCAAAGTTTAATTAGATTTGATTACTTCTTGAATTATAATTGATCGTTTATTTCTGTTATCGGTAATTACGCATTGGAATTAGTAGTTTTAATCTCGGTATCATGAATTTTTGGTTGCTGTTTCTGTAATACTACTATTTAGATAAAATACCTACTAATTTGCTGCGAAACAAACATGTTAAAAATATATAATTACTTATATATAAGATATATGAATGTAAATAAGTATTAAATACACATAACACTATTGCATCAACAACCTGAAATCGAATAATACAAATTTTGACACTCTCCTATATAAATAGTTATAAGAAATGAAGAGATAGAGGCTCAAAGCTGAATTTGCATACGCATTACTTAGAGATAGGATTTTGATACTTTAACGTATTAAAACTATTATGTCATATAAATACAGGTTATCATTTGGGTACATACTATAACCACCACACCACTAAGTAGCTGGTTAATAGAAGAAGAAAGTGTTGCAACATATACGAGTAGTTAGTAAGACTTATAGAAGCGTTAGTTTTTAATAAAAAAAAAATGACTTACCGTCCAAAGACGAAATTAAAAATTAAACACTCCATTGCGTTTCAATTCACGCTGTGTTTTATGTATTCAAATAGAAACATTTCATTTGTTAGTCACACAACAAAACATAGACAATGTTAAGACAAATAAACAAAAGAAACGAATTGAGCTGTCTTTAATTAGTTACAAATAAAGCCAAAGTGGTTTGGTGGTCATTCTTTTTTTTTTAATTTAAATTTGTGTTCGTAATCCTATCTCGTAAAAATGCGTACGCACCTCTTTGGACATTCTGTCTGTATCCTTGCGGGTATCTTCCGCTGCCAGAGTTTAATGGGTTCCGTAAATGGGACATGGGGGCGGCGGGCTCTCTATCGGACATGTTATGGGGGAAATTAGCCGCTGTCGCGTTTAGAGTGGGACCGAAGTTGGTCGAAGGGCCGAAATTTTGATTTTCATGGGAGTTCCTACGGTTTCTATTCGAGTGGTAACTGTGGGCGGCGGCGGCGGCGGCCAGTGACGCGACAGAGGCGTTGTTGATAACATTGTTGTTGTTGTGATTGTTGTTGTTCACAACAACGTTCAGATTGTTGATGACGAGGTTGTTTGTCGTCGACGCTGACACGGACGTGCTCGCTGTGCTCTGTTAATGCAATGTACTTTTATTATGCAATCGTTAATCAATTTTAATCTTTCTATTTTATACTTATTTACATCATGTTAATATATCTTTACTAATAAAAACATAATAATATTTTTTTAATTAAAATAATATTTATAATTTGATAATTTTAATGAATAGTAATTAAAAGAGTTTGAATAAAAGATTTTCTAACTATATAAATAAAATGGATTTTTGAAGAGTATATTTGTATTAGTAAAGAATTTATGTTATTTATAATATGTACACGATTTGACATTATATATCCACCACCACATTTATACTTAAGGGTACTTAGTACTTAGCAATTATTGAATTTACGCTAATGATTTATTAGATTATGTTACGATTTATTATTTTAACTAAAATATATCTGAGAATAATATAATCTGTTGTGTACTGCACTATTAAAAGTGTATATATTTAAAATATATTTTAAATTTATGTATATGTATAACGAATTAAATAATTCTACATTCAGACATCATATCATATACTTTTAATATATTTTTCGCTTTAGCAAGATTAATTACAATCTGGCTGTTTGAAAACTAATAACTTTATTCCATTATTTAAAAAAAAAGTTATTTGAAAAAGTGATTAATTTTAATAAGCAGGCAACTAGCAGATAACATTGTGATATTATAAAAAAAGATGGCTTCACATTGCCGGTAAAACCTGCTCTAGTTTTGACTGGTAAAAATCTAACTACATCGAAGATGTTATATGGATTTTAATTCATTGTTTTATTTTGTATTACTATATTTTTTATTTATTTTTTCTTTATCGCCATCTTTTAATTTATTTTAATACAACAAAATTGTGTTATTATGTGTCACAGTCTTCCTGAACACTAAGATCTCTTTTACAGGTCTGCGGCATTTCTAGCCGTTTTCTGACTTTTTAGAACAGTCTATATAGACTGAACTAAACCTACTTTCATGTATATCGACACAATTACGTGACTAAGATTGAAAATAACTGGACAAATTAATCTTTCTCAACTCATAGAAAAGTAGCAAATGAATCTATCGATGGAACAGTTATCGCTAACGATTCCATGAGATAGAATGAGATGGCGATATCCAGTGTCTCATTCTTTATCATGCAAGCATTAACCGATACTATTGTGTTGATAGGTTCATTCACTTGTTTCGATGCAATTGAGGGGTATGTGAGTACTTATGTAAGTATAAAAATAGTAGTACATACAGGGCGGAAGCGGATTGTTAGTAGGAGGGTATGGCGTACCCATTACTAACAATATACTCCGTCTGGTCGACCTCCACGCGGTTCCCCTTGGTAACCATTTTAGTCAATTTCTGATGGATTCATCACAACGGGAAAGCCAACCTAATTTCATCCCCACTGGCACCAGTGCACCATGGCGGTGGTAGCCATTCCATTGGAATAGGTAAAGAAAGCAGTACATACAGTGACGTCCCTCGGCTCGCCGACGTCGTCCGAGTCGGGCGCGGGCGCGTGGTAGCGGCGGCTCTTGACGGACGCCTGGCGCGTGTCGACGTGCGACGCGGGCGCCGCGGCCAGCGCGCCGCACCACGCCAGCCAGCGGTGGCGGCGCGCCACGCGGCCCATCTCCTTCTGGAACTGATCATCCGATTGCTTATTTTTTTGGATGAAAATAGTATGGTAACGGTAACTCCGCCTGCGCTAATGGGATACGCTCGGAGCACCACTAAAAGATTATAGATGAGAATGAAAACAGGCCAGTTAGCCTATCATGATAAATTCATCGGGAATTAACCGTGATAGTTTCCAGGGGGAATCGCGTGGAAGTCGACCTGGTTGGGTATTGTTGTATTGCTAGCAATGGGATTCTCAGTCCCCATTACTAACAATCCCTTTCCCCCCCATCCGATCGGTTGAACACCACGATTGGATATAAATATATTGATTTCCACTATCGTACGGCTCGCCATCGACAGGGAGTTCACTCTCATACCCTACAGTCTAAATGGTCGCGTACAACACGGTTTCAAAAATGATTTCTCTCACGAACACTCAGGTTATGGAATAAGCTCCCTGTCGGAGTTTTTCCAAGAGACTACAGCACGGGGTTCTTCAAAAGGGGGTTAAGAAGTTTCTTCAGCGTCGGCAACGCGTGTGTGTATTAATTAAATATGACTAGTCACATTTTAGTTAAAAGCAATTGTTGTAATAATAAAGTAACATGCAATAAAATATTTATTAATTTTATTTAAGTATTTGTACCAACCAAACAGAACCAAAGTGACCAACAGCAATCGACTTTTGTACAAAGCTCGTATTTGTACTAACCAAACAGAACCAAAGTGACCAACATAGCTCGAAAGGGGGGAAAGGGATAGTAATAGGGTCTAATTGACCCATTGCTAGCAATACACCCAATCAGGTCGACCTCCACGCGGTTCCCCCTGGAAACCATCGTGGTTAATTCTAGTGGAATTCGTCACGATGGGCTAACTGACCTGCCCTTTCATCCTCACTTGTCATCCCTCACTGGTGCCCCGCCAGTGTATCCTGATAGCGCAGGCGAGGCTACCATTCTATTATCACTCATTAAAAAAAACATAGCTCGAAAGATAAGAAAGCTAATAAAGTAGCAATAACCTGATCACATACCTAGAAGAATCGATAACTGATGGGGAAGAAAGGTTCTTAAGTGAAGAGCCCGTACGGGCAAACGCAGTAAAGAACGACCCCTCTACTAGATGGAGTTGTTGTTATATCCGCCATTAACTATTCACTGCCGAATATAGCCTGCCCTATAAGGGAGGTTTTGCCAGTAGTTGCCACACTTGGCAGGTGAGTTGGCAACTGCAGTTTGGCTTTTGGTGATGTTTTAAGAGGGACGCTGCCGCCCATTCCTCCACCGTAAGCTTCCTTAGTCGCCCCTTACGACACCCATGGCTAAAGAAGGGGTGACCTATTCTATACCGGGACCTACACAGCACTAGATGGAGTAACAATTTCAAATTCATTGTAGAGAGTGGATGCAAGTGGTTTAGGACTGTTCCATATCTATGGGAGAGGTTTATGTTCAGTATTGGACAATAACGTCTGATATGAAGATGACGATTTAAGTTTTTTTTTTACAACATAGGGGGTAAACGAGCACCAAAGACATGGCAGGTGTGCTGCCGGCCTTTTAAAAGGAATATGCTCTTTTCTTGAAGGTTATGACATATGGTTGTGTTATATACCGATATATACTGATACGACAGTAGACGTACGTAGACGGTAGATTATATATGTATATTTTTATATCATTGAGAATGATAGATATCGTCATAGTCGTCAAATACTGACGGATCTGACAAAGATTACATATATAGATCCGTCAGTGTTCTAAGACTATGACGATATGCTGTAAAATACTTACGATTTCATTCTGCAGACAATGGAAGATGAATATGAAGAGTCCTTGTAAAGAATTCAATATCGTGAAGGTGTACGCTATGCCGACTGTTTGCTCCGTCAGGTACAGCAGTCCGAAGGTCCACGTCAACCCCAGCAGGAAGGCCAGGATCATAGAGCTATGTAACCACACCCTGGAAACGAGATTAACTGACATAAATACATATAACTCTTTATATATATGTATATGTGTGTGTGTGTGTGTATGTATATGTATATACTATTATATATATTTATATGTTAAATATCTGCTCTCGATTATTTGGTTTGATTTATTGTGAAAACTTGACTGATTTATGTTATGGTTGTGTATACTATTTTATATGTCTCAGGTATTGTATGTTTCCATTTTAAAGTAAAATAAAATAAAATAAAAATAAATTAAATACAAAATTATTTTGTGTGAGTAATCTTTCTAATTGTAAACTAGACGCTGTCTATATATGGGAGATATTTATAATAAAATTTTATATAAGGGGTCTTAATAAGACCAATAGATAACAAAACATAAATTATTAGGAATTTTGTCTGTCCATCTGTTCCAACATCACGCAAAAAGCACTACTGCACCAAATTAGATGCGGTTTTAATAGTTTTGTATATCTTTTATTTTGATATATATTTTATCTAGAAGTAGTCTATTTTTTCGGTTTTCTTACTTATGCGCAAATAAATTAAATTCACTTTTGCGCTTAAATTCACGCGTACGAAGTAGAGGGTAAAAACTTAGTTAAATATAAAATAATATGGTAATGTAACAATTTTATGTTGTGTATAATTATTATTTACAAGATTCATAATAATGAATCTATCTCAATAGTCATATGAAGGTGTCGCCCTCTGGTGTCAAAAATTTCTAAATGACATACCTTCGCCATACACGATGGTCTATGACGTGGCTTACCTGACGACGTAATTCTTACTAACAATATAGATTACAACCTTAAACCTTAACGGCTTAACCAATTATCATGAAATTTGGTACATATGTAGTATTTGGGATGGAGATTTACATAGGCTATTTTGGTTCTGTTATATCCTAGTTACTGGGATAAAGTTGCGGATAGTAACAAATCACGAATAAATATTACCTTATTTTGTATAATTTTGAATTCTCTTTTGTCTTGACAGAAACCGTCGAGTGATGGCACATCATATAAATCACCATACTGAGGCATATCCAGTTTGCCTGAAAAATAAATATTCATTTTGGTAAAATATAATATTATTGTTATATTAGTGTTAAAAAAATATTTGAATAGAAATTACAGTGTATAGAGGCATAACACCATTGTTCTCAAGAATGAGAACGCATGAGGGATGCTATGGGCAGTAAATTTAGTTATATTTACGATACTATTCAAGTCTATATGTGACGGTTACCACTTTCCAACAAGTGGGCTGTTGGATTTATTAAACAATAATCTGGTTGAAATATAAATATATTTTTATGATAAGTAATTCTTACCTACGTTGTTTGCATGACTGTGTTTCGGTTTGAAGGGTGGGATATGGCGTGAATTTACTGGGTACAGAGGAATAACACCTGAGTCCTTAGGAATGGCAACGCATGGGGGGTATCATGGGCGAAACAGTATGCACTGTTAAGTCCATAGAACTGCTTATATCTATAGGCGACGGTTACCACTTTCCATCAGGTGGACCATCAGCTTGTTTGCAATTCTAAGTTGTATAAAAAAAAAAAACTAACAGCAAGCACGAGTGCGACGGGTCCCACGAAGCTCATAACGAAGAGACGGTCGGTGGACAACCAGCAGTGACGCGAGGTACCGTAGCCGGTCGGGAAGGCTGCAGCGGACGCCAGCACGACTAAGGCGGGGGCGATGTACGCGCCTGCTAAGTACCAGCGTGCGCGAGGACGCTCCGGCTCGAATACTTCCACCAGCATCGCGTACAGGTGGAACCCTGAGGATCACATATCGTTATTAACCAACTTATATTCGTAACTTCGTTTGTATAGAATTGTTATTTTTTTTTTTTTGATGGATGAAAATGGTATGGTAACTCCGCCTGCGCTAACGGTATACGCTTGCGGAGCACCAGCGAAGGGTGATAGATGAGAATGAAAACAGGCCAGTTAGCCTATCATGATGAATTCATCAGGAATTAACCATGATAGTTTGAATAGTCAGGGAGAACCGCGAGGAGGTCGACCTGGTTGGGTATATTGCTCGCAATGGGATTCTCGGTCTCCATTACTAATAATCTCTTTCCCCCCATCAAAGAATTGTTATTTATGAGCATTCATTCCTTTGTTTACTGAAGTAGGGTAACGTCGCTTGCAATTTGGGGGGAAAGGGGTTGTTAGTAATGGGGTCTAACAGCCCCATTATTAGCAATATATCCTTACAGGTCGACCTTCACGCGGTTCTCCCTGGAAACCATCGTGCTTAATTATTGATGAATTGGTCACGATGGATACCCAACTGACTTGCTTTCATCTTCACCTATCGTCTCTCACTGGTGCACTGCCAGCGTATACGATTGCGCAGGCGGGGTTGCCATTTCCTTTTCACCCATTAAAAAATTCGGAATTCTTCTAAGACAATTGGACATTTTTCAATGTTTTCGATTAATTCTTCAAATAAGTGTTCTGCTAGCGAATTAATCTCCTTATTCATAAAAACGTGAAACTTCACATAAACTTTTTTTAGTTCTTGAACTGTTTTGTCTCTTTCTTTTAAGCTAAATTCCTTACATCGAAAATCATTATAAGAGGTAGTCTTATTTCGATCATGGGGTTTTAAAAGTATATTTAAAATTTATTTGAAAAATAAAATAATGTCCTTTATTTTCCATTTCTGTCTAAAAAATATCTTTCGTGTACCTTCTAGAAACATCCAAGCGAAAGCAGCCAAGAAGAAATAGTGCAGCAACCCAGCGATCAGACCGCACAGAATCCTGTCCTGCGTCTGGTCTATGCCGGCCATGAACACCACCTCAGCGACCAGCAGACACCAGCATAGGTTCTTGTGGATTAGCACGCGATCCGACTGTTAACAAATAATCATGACAATTAATGATTACATATCATGTTTTTATAGCAACAGTAACCTGTCCTTTAAGCAAATTACTGGGTAAAACAACTTAGTATTCCATATTAGACATGCATGAGAGGTAATATGGACAGTAGTACAGTCTATTTTGTAATGTCTAATGATGGTGACCACTGTCTACCATGTTTGCCGTTAATTTATTTATAAAAAAAGAAGTTGGCAAGGGGTCAAGGGATAGGGGAATGGCGAATATTAACCTATTACTTATTTCTGCAATGAATTCAGCTTTGCCTGAATTTGTTGTTTCAATATGTGTCCTTTCTAATTTTCTTTTCTATCTAAAGATGATTTGTGTACAGAGGCATAATACTTTATCCCTCAGATATGACAACGCATAAGAGGTATCATAGGCTACACAGTATATATTGTTATGTACACAGTACTGTTCATATCTATAGGGGTACTGCTTTCTATCAGAGGGGCTGTTATCTTGCTTGCCATTCTAAATTAGGTAAAAAAGATTTAGAAAACCTTTGTCTTTAGGAGTGGTACTGTATATTAGATTATTTATTATACTTTTTTCCTTTGTATATTCTTTATTGCACTTGTAAATTACATTGTTAATGCATTTATAAATACTGTGAGCAAGGGTAGACTTATCTCTGACAGAGATCTCTTCCAGTCAACCCAATTGAGTTAGAATACATTTCTTCACAACGATTGTGTTGTGAAACAACACAATCGTTGTGAAGAAACAACTAATGGTTACTACTTCACAACGAAATATTTTTCATGTAAATAGTAGAAGGGTTCGATAGCAATAAAACTTGATAAGGACTACCAGTAAAGCAAATTATTACTATTGGATAGTAAAGCAGGGATTGAAATGTATCGCACTGAAGCCTTGACCATTTTACAGTTTATCTATTAAATTAATAACAAACTATAATACAAATGTAGACTTTAAAATTTCTTATATATACCTTGCACATCTATTCATAAAATAACAAAAAAGCAATAAAATATTAGTGCAAATAAATATTAATACTAAACGAGTACGACGTATCACAAAATATCTATAAATGAAATTATAATATAACAGTTAAAGAATTAGCAAAGGCTTCTCTAAGTCTAACTATATAATACATTTAGTTACATATAGGCTATAGAAATTATAAAACAAAAATACTTCCAAAAAGGGTAAACTGTTACCCTTTAAAGATATGGAGCAGTGCTGTACAATATAAACGAAGTTGAGGGTATAGATAGTGGACTTATATATTTTGCACATATAGGATTCACAGTACCTTGGGGGTCCATAAAAAGCATCTACCACAATTGGCTACGCATGACCTTGGAAAATATGAATAACCTCAGAGACAGAAACCTTCATATTCTTGAAGCACTGGAACACTATGATGGCGGCGAAGAGGGCGACCGCCGAGATGGCGCATCCGATCAGGGTTATCAGGCGGAGAGCCAGCACGTGTTTGCCGGAGAGAGGTATCCCCTGGACGTCCATGAGGATCGCGAAGTTGGTGAGGTGGGAGCACGCGCATCCCGTGTGAGTGGAGTTGGACCATTCTACTTGACAACCTTCTGGTGACCAGCCACTGTAAGGAAATAAATTAAAAATTAGAATTGTAAATGCGATTTATTTTTTAATTGTAACTTAATTTTTAAATGTAATTTAATTTTTAAGTTTGATTTAATTGTTAAATGTAATTTAATTATTAAATAGAATTTAATTATTAAATAGAATTTAATTATTAAATAGAATTTAATTATTAAATAGAATTTAATTATTAAATAGAATTTAATTATTAAATAGAATTTAATTATTAAATAGAATTTAATTATTAAATATAATTTAATTATTAAATAGAATTTATTTATTTAATGGTATTTAATTATTAAATGTAATTTAATTCTTAATAGAAGATTAATTAACAATTGTAATAACTGAAACTGGTAAATGAAAAACAACAGTCGAGTCTCTCATTCTTCTCTAACTGAAATTATTATATTTAACGAATTGATGCCTTTGGTTTAATTATCTGATTTCATTTAAGGATTGAGGTTCGCATTAAGTTTGCGATTTTATTATAGATATATGTACACGTGCCTATCCCTTTAATGATCTAGTGTGAGGATAAAAATACATAGATAAATGATTAATGTACTCACTGTAATGTGTAATCCCAAAATACACAAGCTGGATTCGTAACGTTCTCTGTTCGAAGGTGTTTCATGGTAAGTCGTACCATTTGCGTCAGTTGGATGTGCCTTCCATTGCCCAAGCTCGCAGATATCACCTGCACATGAAATCAGTTACATGATTATGGCAGTCTAATTGTATAAAGGATTAATTTACAATTTTTATGAGATTTTTATTTTTACGACTGCATGAACAAAAAGTTTTATTTTGTAGTCGTCTGGTCCCGGCATAGAATAGGCCACCCCTTCCATTCCCATAGGTGTCGTAAGAGTCGATTAGGTAATGCGAGGGATGAGCAGCAGCGTCCCTCTTAAAACATCTCCAAAGCCTAATTGTGGCTGTCAATCCGTCTGCCAGGTGTGGCAGCTAATGGCAAATCCCCCCCCCCCCATGTGGATTCACAATGGACAGTTAATAATTGTATTAAAATTTTAAGTTTTTTTTAAGTTCATTTTGTCCTCTTTGATTTTAAAATCTGATTTGTATGCCAGATTCTGGTGAAGAGTGTGAACAATGTTTAAATATTATGTACCATTTTGTTTACCATTTTCAAACTAAATAAAGTTATTTGTATTTGTCTTTTTAATCTAATTCATGTTTATAACGACTTTGTAAAGTAAACCCGTACTGACCTTAGAGTTGAGGACCCTGGTGACATTCCTCTTCTCCCGTTCAGAGTTAATGCTGGTGGATGAGGAGGCGACGGGATCGGAGGCGAACGCCGCGTACTGAGGACTCTTGCCGAAGGTCGGAGGCAGGATCTGTTCGAGACGGTTGAACGCGAAGAAGACAATTCTGACCAGGCCGTCTTGTCGGTTTTCTGTGGAAAAGAAATAATAATTTGTAGACTCATACAGTTAATATTATACTAGCAGTTTTCTGCAGCTTTACTCGAGTCAATAGAATGGTAAACCCGCCTGCGCTATCGGTATACGTTGGCGGGGCTACTAATCCCCATTTTTAACAATTCATCATCCCCTCCCCCCCCGTTGGGGGGTTGTGCCAGTAATTTCCACGTATGGACGTTGCTGGTCATCCATCGCTCTCCTTCCCCTCTTACGTCACTCATGGGATAGGAAGGGGTGGCCTATTCTGTGCCGGGACTACATTTTAGACTAAATTATGTATATGTATTTATTTGTATATATATATATATATATATATATATATATATATATATATATATATATATATATATATATATATATATATAATATATATATATATATATATATATATATATATATATATATATATATATATATATATATATATATATATATATATATATATATATAAATTTTAGTATGAATGTATCTCAATTAATATAATATTCTAACATTCCTAATAATAATCCTTGGGAAACCAAGGATGACTGGGAGAGTTTACCATTAAGTCCGCCATGCACACATACTCATACATAAAGAATAATATATAAAACCATCAAAAATAAGGTGTGAGGGGTATCATAGGACATAGAGTATATTTTGTGCCGGGGCATCGGATACACTGTGGCATCTATTACATACATAGTGCCTATACTTTGTGACGGGATATGTATACACTGTGGGGCCTAGTATGTGCAGTCAAAGAGTATTCGTGAGAATTATTGTATATCTACGGGTGACGGTTACTTACCATTCTCCACCAGGCGGGCCGTCAGCTTGTTCGCTATTACAAATTGTATAAAATAAATAGCATAAATAATCCCACCTAACAAAGTAACTTCATATACATGTATTTTTTATTATAACAGATTATTATTTGTTAATCTTTGTCGCGTGTCCACGATACAGGTTCGCCTAGTGTGGGGACCATTGTATCTTGTATTTGTAATTTTGTGTTTCTTGTCAAATAATAAATTTCTATTTCTATACAAAAATGCCTTGCAAGTAATATTTATGCTTTATTATATTTATGAATTGGCTAAAGATAGCGTTAGGACTTAGCATGAGCGCTTAAAACCTGACAGATTAAATGGAACTATTTCTGTAGGCACATGACCTAAACCAGTCGAGTTAGAGGAAATAAGAATTGTTAGTAATGGGACCACTATTCTCCTGAAAACCATCTTGGTTAACTCCTATTATTATATTCGCCACAATGGGCCAACTGTGCTGATTTCATCCTTCAAGTTCATCTTTCAGGTGTACCATACAATTTTCATCCATTAAAATACACATTTCAATGTCTCTGCACAACCTAATAAAGGTTGACTGGTAGAGAATGCCTATGTATCACATTTTATTGGTCAATAAAGTTTAAATAAATAAAAGAAACTGTTACATTTTTAAATGTTTACATCCCCCCCCCCAAGCCATCCTTGTTTTCTTTGTGTGTTTTTTTCTTGCTAAATTCTTTATTTTTGTCGAGTTTACTAAAGTAATATTTTGTAGGGAACAATAAGCAATATCTATCTACTCATAAGAGAGTATACTTCTGCTACCTTCACACGTTTTAAATCCAATAAATACCAATAATCGCCAATACGAAGAGAATATACATACATACGTATATACCTATCCATCACGTCTGTCTCCCATTGGAGTGGGCAAAATATACTAACCATGTAAGGCAGCCTTTGGTATGGTGATGGAGTCCTCGGAACCCTTCCACTGTTCCTGAGCAGTGAGCGATGGAAATGTCTCGTCTTCTACATTCTTCACTTCTAATACACGTACGGAAAGACCTGTAACAATATTTTTAATATTAGATATTTATACTAACAAGAGATACAGTTACATTTACATCACAATAATAAAAAATCACAATTAAAAAAAAGATATGTTTGGGGGTTAGATATTGTTGCGATGGCTAGCAATATACCCTGTGAGGTCTACTCTCTTTCTCTCTTTCTCTCTCTCTCTCCTCTCTCTCTCTCTATAAATTCTGCGCCTTTTGCTAATGCGCAAAAACTCATTTTGTTTATTAAATAATTACATATAGATACGTGAAAATACATAGTGTGCGTAAGTATATAGAATATTAATAAAAAAAACGAGTCAGCTAATTCGACAATTAGCTGACAAAAGTTGCCCCGTTTTTAAGGTTCGATGTTCTATGTATATAATCAGAGAGTTGAACTTACATATATTCTTGACAGTCTGCAATATGTTTCTCTCTTCTGTGATCGCCTCGGCTAAAAGGAACGCGTTCTCCTCGAGTTGTGTGAGAAGCGCGCTAGCCGCTCGATTCTGTGCTTCTGCGCTCAGATCCGCCCACGACGCACGCTGGTTGTCTTCTAGAAGATTCGAGCCTGAAACACGTGTATTATTAATTATTCTATTCTATTACTAACTTATGATTTCCCTTTGCTGGACAAAGGTGTCCCTATTTCCTTCTAAAAATTTCCATTCTGCGATAGCTGAAACCAGTTTCCATTAAATGCATATCAGCTGAGTGCTCAGGAATGGCAATGTATAGGGGGACTTTGAACAAAAGTCGATTGCTTGGGTACCTCTGTTCCATTCGTGTTTCTCCCTGAAGCAGTTGTGTTTGCATGGCTGTGTTTCGGTTTGAAGGGTGGGATATGGCATGAATTTACTGGGTACAGAGGAATAACACCTGAGTCCTCAGGAATGGCAATGCATGGGGGGTATCATGGGCGAAACAGTATACTGGTCATGTCTATAGGCGACAGTTACCACTTTCTATCAGGTGGGCCATCAGCTTGTTTGCACTATTGCTTCTTGGGCTGGTCTCAACAACGTTGTGTATAAGTAGTCACCTACTGAGTAGAGTTTGTCCGACTATCGGAATCCATATGGTTAATGTGACCCGCCCAATCTTACTTAAGTTTGATCTACAATTTTCATTCTAATTTGGGAGCGATGCATGATGAAAATATGATGGTAAAGATTAACTAAAATTTCAAAAAACATTTCATAGTAGGCCTTCTGGTTTTTCTGTAAATAAATAAATAAATAAATAATGTGTTAAAAATTTTATATCATAAGCAACCTGTCTTTATAACGCCAAGCAACATGTCAGCAACAAGCGCTTCCCTCTGATTAGCGTCAGGGAACGTCTTCACATTCCGCGCCATTCCCTGAGCCAATTTCTTCATAATGCTGGTTGTGATCATCATGTCACCGCCGTATAACGTCTTCGACGATGTCACCTGTAATTAGAGGTAGGTTATATATTGCAATATCTATATATTTATATAGATATTGCAATATATATTGGATATTGAAGTACAATATACATTTATTGGTCCAATAACGAATATATTAAATACCAGTATATATGTAATACAGATATGAAGAACCCAACTGAAATTAATATTAGATATTTGACCAGTATGGTTCACATCCAAATGGTTGATGACCATTTTTCGCCATAAATAGATACACATCCATTTTCTTCACGTAGTTTATTCATTTTATTTATTTATATATAAAAGACACACCAACAATATCCTCACAACAATTAAGCAGGCAATGTACAATGTTGTAAGTAAGTAAAAGTGAAAAACTACTATTCAAACATGCTTAAATCTAAGTTTACTTGAACAAAAACTCTCTCACTCCTCACTACCAAGCTTAAGGCCATATGAACACATCAATCAAAGGTGTATACAGCTCTCACAGATAAGCGTCAATGTACACTAAGTAACAATTATACAATTAGAGAAGACCTAATTACCAATCCATACTATTAATAAGCCCAGCAAACCGCACTAAACAATTACCAAAGTCGATATCATAGTTCAGGAGATAGATTATCAAAAAGAAATACAAATTCGTATCTCTATCTATTCATGTCCTTTTAATAACAACGAATTACAATAAAAGGCTGTTTATCTAATTTTAAACATATATAAAAAAAAATATTTCTTTTTATGGATTTCTAAAACTTCTATTACATGATGGGTTATCATTATGGACATATCATTGTTTTATTTTATTCACTGCATTGCGTAATACAAATACAATATATTAAATCATTTTACAGCAATCGAATTTCAATAACGAATGGACTAGACAATTAAATAAATATCTCGAAATAATAAGACTTCCGTTTAGATTAGACCAATTGATCACGGAACCCTAAAAAATTACTATTCACTAAAGCAGTATTTCTAGTATTAAACACTAAAACATTATAAATTTCTGACTAGAAACATTCATACAATATTTTTTAAAAACACATTCGGCATTTTCAATTTTGTATTGACTAATTCAATGATACCGTGAAACCTTCATAGGATACTGGGCCTCCCTTAGTCAAGGAGCATATTGTCTCACCTGTGCTAAATCATTGCTGATGCTGAGCAAGGAGTCTCCCTCCTTGACCCGCGCTTCCAAGCTGTTCAGCCACACTGACCGACACTCGCTGAGGTCAGGGGTGGCACCGAGCCATTCTGGTACTGCGTCCGCTGAAATTAGAATTAATGTGATATATTACTACAACGCCGTATGGTCCCGGCATAGATTTACCACCCTTTTTCCCCATCGGTGTCGTAAGAGGCAATTAAAACACATAATTGTCGAAGGATGGGCAGCAAAGTTCCTCTTTAAACATCACCAAAGCCTGTGTCTACCAACACGCCTGCTAATCGTGGTAACTACAGGTCAAGCTCATGGGGGAGGCTCATGTGGCTCATTCAGCAGTGGACAGTTAATAGCTAAGATATAATAATCCTGTAATTTCACTGCCATATCCCACATTTCAAACTGAAAATCAACCATTCAATTAGCTAAGTACAACTGTTTCTCGGCAGAAACACGTATGGGACAGAGGGGACTAAGCAGACAGCATTTATTCTCTATCTGATATGGTCGTTCTCGTGTTTTAGACATATTAGATATTATATCTGTAAAAAGATATACGAAATATTTCATTACAAGCCTGCTTCGATCCACTAATGGATATAGGCCTTTTTAAAGCCTTCCAACAAATGCAGTCCTCTGTTTTTTGCATCAAATGTTTTCCCGCTGTCTTGCGGAGATCGTCAGTCCATTTGGAGGGAGATCGGCCCACGGGGCATATTTCTGTACGCGATATCCATTGTAACATTCTACCCCATTTGCCATTCCTCACTTGACAGATATGACCAGCCCAATACTACTTTAACTAGTAGACTGAGGACTATATCGAGTACTTTGGTTCTCTGAGCGATCTCTTCATTTCGAGTCTTATCCCTCAAAGACAGAAGAGAACAGAGATATGAAAGATTACCAAAGTGAAATACTCACAGTACATAGCATCAGTGTTACTGGTAGAGTGTTGGCTCGACGGTAGTTGGCCATCGGGTACGTTACCACCCCGGTAGTCGATCATATGGTCAGGTGTGTCACCGTCGCGTCCTGCAAATTTGCAAGAAATTTATACACAAGGTGTTCTAAACACGATGTATTCTCTATACTGATCATCATTATCACAATTTCAGCCATTATTCGTCCACTATTAGATATAAGCTTCCCCCATAGTATGCCATAGAACAGCTGAATTGAAACGAATTTAATACTTACTTTGTTAAACACAAAAGAAATTACAAAATTATTTAGTCTTTCTAAAATAAAGAAATCTGGAACATTTTGTGAACAAAAAGAAAAACATTATAATTCAAATAACTCACAAAGTGATTTTGGTCATTAAATCATTTTCATCATATTAGCCGTCAACCGTCCACTGCTGATCATAAGCTTCCTAAATAGACTGTCATAAGAAACGAGACCGTTCCTTATGGGAGTTTACAATGGGGGGGGGGGGGGGGATTTGTCAGTGGTAGCCACGCTTGGTAGGCGAGTTATCACAATCACAGTTTGGCTATTGGTGGTGTTTTAAGAGGGACACCGTTGCCTATCCCTCGGCCATTAAGCTATCATAGTCGCCTCTTACGAACGCTACGGGAAAGGAAGGCATGGACAATTCCATACCGGGACCACACGGAAAATCGTCATTAAACATGGAATGTTAAATTAAAATTGTTCGTACCTTTGAGAAGTGCATCGGAGCCAAGTCTCGAGATCAACTGCACCTGCCTGTCGCTGTCCAGCCCCAGATCGTGGTAGTTCTCCCCTGATGGTAGACCAGCTCCGCGCCGCAGCGGCCGCTCTTCCTCACTGGGCTGGTACTGGTTTAGTACGCACCTGGGATATAATCGTAAAATAGTAAATCGGCTCGTTGCTACCAAACGTGCCAGGTTGAACTGCACGCGGTTTACTCTCAAAACCTATGAGCTGATGAGCTAAATGCCTTGCCTTTATGTATGGTTGACCTATCATATCTCAGTAGTGTCCCAAGAGGTAATCACCGCCATACTATTTTATAAATGTGGCCTAGAATTTCTCAACACCAGAGGGCGCTACTTTTACACGATAAGATTACTATTGTAATATCACTATATAGTATAAAACAAAGTCGTTTCCCGTCTGTTTGTCCCTATGTATGCTTAGATCTTTAAAACTACGCAACGGATTTTGATGCTGTTTTTTTTAATAGATAGAGTGATTCAAGAAGAAAGTTTATATACATCCGGAAAGTTCGTATAAAACATGACCCCTTCCTTATAACAATAGTTCTGGTCTGACCGCCGTGCGGTGCGAACTGGCTTGTCACGCCATGTGAAGTTACCTCTTTTTTCAATACTCGGCAAGAATGGCCGTGAAAGCAAAGAGTGGAAGACATCCGGGGAACCACGAACAAAAAAATCAAGAAAATCCCGCTCAAATGTCAAGACAATGTTGATTGTTTTTTTCGATGTTCGGGGGATTGTCCATCAAGAATTCGTCCCTCCAGGCCAGACAGTTGATGGAAAATTCTACGTCGATGTGCTCAGACGCCTCAAAGCTCGTGTGGCACGAGTTCGTCCAGAATTGGCGCGAGAGGGGAGTTGGATTCTTCACCACCACAAAGCCCCTGCCCACACCTCTCTTCTTGTCAGTTAGTTTTTGAGTAAAAATTCCATTACGGAAATTCGCCGGTTTATATACATAAATGAGATAATACATGCATAATATATGTAGAAGGGGATAAAATTGATTTACTGAATAATTGTAAAATAAAATTTTTAAAAAACTTTTATAACTTTTCGTTTTAATATATATACTGATAATTTTTTAAATAACTGAGGTTTCTAATGTGATGTGACGTAATGTGTTCCCGTGCGAAGCCGGAGAAGGTCGCTATACTTACTAATATAACACACATGAAATTTACTGATACTGACTATATATAGACATTGTTACACCCCTAATTTATCTAGACAAAGATAAAAAAGCGTTATCGGATATTCACACGGTATAGTTAGGATAAACGAAATATTTGATCCATATTGCCTATTAAGATATCTATTCGTGTGATAGAAAGCACCAATGGCCAAATCAATTATGTAAATTTATTATCTGATACATTACATACCTCTATCTAATCTCAAACTGAGCAGACTAGACAAGTAATAAAAATACTATATTTTTTTTATAAAGATATACAAAGATTACATAGAAAACACTAAGACCATTGCAAACAGATATTAATACAAAAATTTGTATTGTCCGGGGATCGAACCCGCGACCATTATAAATTGAGGCAACATTATATTGCTGCATCACCAAAAGACGTTAAATTCAAAAAGTTTAAATTACTATAACTCACTTCCACTTAGCTAAGCCGCTGGCACCCCCCGGGCAAGGCTGGACATTGTATGTATTCACCAAAGTCCAGTTCCAATGTAGACCACGAGCGTTGACTTGAGGACAGTACGCGCGCCTTCCAATATTTGATGTGGACATTGTTGCTGAAAATACAAAATTGACAATAATTTAATATAATTACAAAATAATAGTAATAATAGATTATTTTTATTTAAAGAAACAAAAATTTTGAAGTGTCATTTTTTATGAATCCACTGCCCAGTTCGGAATGCAGTTCTAGCTGAGACAAACGGGCAAGAAAGACGGCTGTTGCTTTTTTCAAATAAAAGTTAAGTTTGCAACAAAAAATATGATGGGAAGAAATAATTATTACCTACATTGCATAGATAAAAAAGCTAAAAATGAAAAGCTACAATCAATCACAGTATTCATGAACAGGCCAGTCCCTAGCAAAGATAATTTTTCTGTTTTGTGTTTACCCATTGTCAGTAGTTGTCACGCTTGGCAAGCGAGTTGGCAACCACAGTTATGCTTTGGTGATGTTTCAGGAGGAACGCTGCTACCCATCCCTCGACCATTGATTCCTTTAGTCGTCTCTTACGACACTCACGGGAAAGGAAAGGGTGGGCCATTCTATGCCGGGACCGTACAGCGAAACATGTGATTGTTTGTTAACTTATAACGTCTTAACAACGTAATCAAACACTATAAATATTGGAATTCACTTATTATATGGGATGGAGAAGAATATAGGCAACACCTTAGTCCTTAGATATGGCAATGCATGAGGGGTATCATGAGCGAAACAGTATACTCTGTTATGTCTATGGTACTCATGTGTATAGGCGACGGTTACCACTTTCCATCAGGTGGGCCGTCAGCTTGTTTGGCGTTCTAAGTTGTATAAAAAAATACTTTATCTCTATCAGTAAACATATCCCTGTCACACGGACGAACTCGAGAGTAAAAGCTAGTAAATTCACATATATATGTACATGAATAAAAAAATAGATCTTTAAAGACAATTTAGAAAGCTTAAAATGGTTTGAACTTACAATATACATTATCAAATAGGTCATCCACATCGGTATTGGGTCGGGTTTCCTTTGGTGGCACGTGAGCTGATACTGTGGAGTCAGAATCGTCCTTTACTGGCCAGTGGATCGTTTCTTCGGTGACCGCTGTAAGAAAAAATGTTGTTAGTAATGTGAACACTGAGAGAATAATTCATTGGTCAATACGTATTCGATCAATAAATTCAATGGAATAATTGGAGTAAAAATCCTTAAAGCGATGCCCAATAATTACAATTTCACTTGTATAGACACCAGAGTCTCTAAAAAAGACATTTTTCTCAAAGAAACAAATAAAAAAAAAATGATTAAACAAAGAAATTTGGAATGGCGAAACAGTATAGTACAGACATAACAGAGTATGTCCATGATACTGCTCATGTCTATGGGTGACTGTTACCACTTTCCATCAGGTGGGCCGTCAGCTTTTTTGCCATTCTAAGTTGTATAAAAAAAAAACTTCACTCTGAATATTACTCAATCTTACACACCGATATCATCATCCTTTGGCTTCTCGTTCCTTGGACTTTCAGATTCCACCTTAGGTGGTTCCTCCTTCACTTCCGGTTTATTGTCGTGCGGTATCTGTGGTGGTTCTCGCTCTGATGACGAGTCCGGTTGTCGGGTCGTAGTCTTCTGAAAGAAAGGATATTTGTAACCACATGCTTAAATTTTGGTCTGCCGATGATCACCCATTGTTTTCCATGTATAATTTGGTACGCATTCTCAACTATAAAGAGACTTTGTACAGAAACCGTCTTCATGGGTATCTCTATTACAATCTAGTTTCTGCCGTTAAGCAGATGAGCATTACTTACATTACTGTGTTTTGGTTTAAATTATGGAATATGGGAGTGAAATTACACGCGGGTGTAACATCATACTGTGCCCTTAGAAGTTGCAATGTACAATTGTATAGTTACAACCACGCTAATTCTCCTGCATACTTCACACTGCTATAGAGATCATAGAATACACTGATACTCTATGGTTTCTATGGTAATCGTCACCTAAAAAGCTGCTTCTTTTTAGGTGACGATTGCCGCTCTCTATCAGGTGGATTCACTAGCTTCTTTGTCAGTTCAATTTGCATAGTCTACTTTCTTATTTTGAAAGAAACTCTTGAAGATCTATCTGTCAATTCAAACGGCAGACCCGCAACTTCTACTACAATCTTCATAAAACAAAGAATCATACCTTAGTAGCTATATCACCCAGTTTCACTTCAGGTGGTAAAGTAATATGTGGCCTGAAGGTTGGAGGCGTGATCACAGTTGGCTTCTTTCTCTCTCCCTGCTGCGTTTGCACTGGACTTTTGGGTATCGGTGGTGCCGTCGACCGCCATACCGTGGGTTGGGATGTGATGAGCCATGGTGGTGATGGCCGGTTCGTAGTGCTTGTTGTTGATGCTGAAATAAACATTCTGGCTTGTAGTTCTTTTGACAATTTATTAAAATACTGTAATGAAGTCAAAAAGTGAAAATAGATAATGTTTAACTAGGAAAATTTTCTACAAAAGACATTTGTTTGAGTTAAGTATATCTTTTTAGGTGACGGTAAACGCTTACCCTAATTAGGTGAGCCGTATGCTTGTTTGCTACCGCAGTGGTATAAATAAATCTTTCCTAGTTATGTTTCTGCTGAGAAGCAGCTATGCTTGCATGGGTGTGTTTCGGTTAGAAAGATAGGTTATGTACCCCACATTAGGATACGTAGACAAAAAACCATACTGATAAGCTATGGCATTTTCTGTAATGCCTACGGTAACCTTGATGCGTTATCATTCTCCATGTAGCTATTCATGTCTATAGGTAACAATTATCACTTTCCATCAAGTAGGCTATCAACTTATTTGCTATTAAAAAGAAAAAAAAAACTTGTACATGTATTGCATTATTTAATTTTTTTTTTTTTTCCGGATTTAACGCGACGTGAAAACATGTAAATAGTACATAATATACCTAATTTTATTACAGATATTTGACATATTTTGAATAGTAGAAGCGTGAAATAACACATGCATATGTTGACAGAGTAAGCATCCTTCATTTTTTGTACATTTAAAGCTGTATGTGACCTGCAACTTTGGTGACACATACTACCTCATCTTCCGATGGTTTTTAAATGTCTATCAATTGTCTAGATGGCGTTATGTGGTAAATCCAGGGCTGTTAAATTATTTACAAATTTAAAAATCTTTATTCGATACGTACTTTATTACTTACGTAATCATATTAACTATATCCAAATGCTAGTCATAATATTACAATGTCACCAAATTCTTACCTGGTACACACTGATAATGCGCTTCCAAATATTTTAGCGTATTCGGACACGGATCCCCGAACATGTTAGTGCTTGCTAATATACTGCAGTTCTGGTACATACTGCATCTGTAAAGAAAAAGAAATTATTAATAATCTATTCTGCAAATTATTGCTGCAAAATAATCAATGAAAATTTTAGTACTTGAATACATTAACCTAAGTTAACACTCCATTATTAAAAGCTATCATAGCAGAATAGCGTAGATCTTTGATGAAAAAAAAAATCTGAATGTTTCCATAATCTCTTCAATATTACACAGAAATTCTGTTATTTTTTTAATACCATAGATGAAGATGATATGGTAACTCCGCCTGCGCTATTAGATTACGTTCGTTGAGTACCAGTTTTGTTTATAGAGTTTTCATACTGCAATGGAGACAGATAAGAATACGCCCCAGACCATGGCCATTAGACTATTGGCAAATGATTATCATAGCCCATAAACATTAGGAGTGGCACGTGGGAATAGCTGACCCATAAGATCCTTTAATAAACTCTATTTGAAGAACTATATGCTGTAGTCTTTAGGAAAAACTTGGCAGGAAGTTTATTTCACAATCTAAGTTGTAGCAGGAGGAAACTTCTCTGAAACCACACTGTGGTGCTGTCACTGATGTATGATGGTTTCCAGGGAGGCAAAGGTCGATCAGGCAGCATAAGTAGACTTCTAACAATGAGTTCGATATTACCCATTACTATAATCACATTAACCAGTCTAGGTGACACATCGTCATCATCATCACCATCATCATATCAGATTTTAACTGTCCACTGCTAAACATAAGCCTTCCCTTCGGGGGTATTGCCAGTAGTTGCCACGCTTGGCAGGCGGATTGGCAACCGCAGTTAGGCTTTGGAGACGTTTTAAAAGGGATGCTGCTGTCCGTCCTTCGCGCTCCCTTAGCCGCCTCTTATGACACCCACGGGAAAGGAAGGCATGGCCTATTCTAAGCCGGCTAGATGCACACATGCAACTAATAATATGGTTAAATCGGTGACCTAAAAAATCCTCAGCATAATGACGTCACGCAAGGCGTAGACAATCAATTTAAGGCGTCATTTCCATGAGCGCGGGGCCGTGCACTTTATTGGCAATCTCGCGGGGTTAACACGATAAACTTGGGTGTAGCGAATATTTAATTTTCGGCAATTCTCGGCACTTTCCGGGCGAGCGTTTAGATATATTAGGGCCTGTGCAGACTAATATTGGGCGTATTCTTCTTTCGTCAAAATAAAACACCATAAGGCCAGCGCAAAGGATGGGCATTTTGACGGTGTACAAAATTTATCTTTGTATAGACTATAAACTTGCAAATTTTGAGCGTTTATTACAATCGGACCCCTTCATCCTTTGACCACACCCAAGTTCTTTGGTCCATGATAGACGGTCACAACATTGAACAACTGACTGGCAAGATGGACGGCAAATGGCTGAAAGAACATAGACCTACAAGATAGGCTGATCAAACCCGCACGTCTTTAGATAGTAGATTCCAGAATGCACTTCATGATATCAAAGATAGACACAGATGGGAAAATATCATTAAAGCGTGATTTTGCAGAAAAGTCTTTCAATAATCGACGAAAACAACGCGAGAAGAACGATTATGATCCGAGTAAAATTTACTCACTGTCACTCAACGTGTTTAAAAGCTTAGGAAGAGGAGACAAACATAAAGGAAAGTTTTGTTCATGGACAAAAAGTTTCTTGTCCTCGCAAGATAATAAAATTGCTTTATTATATGTAGTTAATGATGAGTTCCAGCTGATACTCCAGATTTTGTACTTCATGAATAAATCTATACCTGTAAAGGGTCTTTCATTAAATCCGATGAAACGAGCTTTGCTGGGAGGAAGGGATTGTTACTAACAAAGAATAGTGGTTAGGAACCCATGGCTGGTAACATATCCTGTCAGGTCAGCCTCCACGCGTATTCCTCTGGTAACTATAGTGGTAAATTACTGAAGAATTTATAACGATGGGCCATCGAACTGACCTGATTTTATCCTCGTTCTGATATGTACCAACAGCGGAAGAAGAAGGAATAAATTTTTAATCCAAACGGAGCTTTGCTCGATTCTGATTATTATAAAGTATTCTTGTTGATGGAAACTGAAGAAATATAATTCGTTTGTAGTAATTTCTATGTAGTTGTTTGTATATAATATATTGTAGATATATGCACTTATAATAAACTCGTAAAATGTAGTTATAGTTTATTAACTAAAGTCATATTTTGTTAAATGCACATTTATAAGTGTGACTTATGAGAGTATATTTAACAAAATATAACTTTAGTTTTTATAGTTACTTTTATGACAAAACCTGCATCTGTGAGATCGTAAAAACGAGCCATTTTGTTATGATTGAGCATGGTGATACAGTATAAAATGAACTGTAAACAAACCTTTTAAAACAACTAACTGCAATTCACTTCTATACTCTGGCGAATTAACTTAAGAGTAATTAGTATCCAATATATTTGTACGAACCTGGATTGTGGATCATCTCTGAATAAAATTTTGTTCAAATATGTTTAATCATATAAATATTATATAAATATTTAGTTTTTTTTATTTAATTAATTTAACCTATTAATATTATTGATTATAATATAAATGAAAATGTCAAAATTTGAGCCAAATAAGCGTCATTTGCGGGAAATATTAATTTACTTCGTTAATTTAAAGAAATCTGCTGCTAAGGCGCATCAATTGCTCGTAGAAGCATATGGTTCTTTTGAGAGAACGTGTCGAGAGTGGTTTCAAAAGTTTAAAAACGGTGATTTTAGAAGACAAAATGAACAAAAATTTAAATCATGGAGGAATTATTGAAGGAGGATTCATCTCAAACACAAAAAGAACTTTCTAACATTATAGGTCTCACATCGTTTAAAATCATTAGGAATGATTCATAAACAAGGAAATTGGGTTCCGTACGAATTAAAGCCGAGAGATATTAACGCCGATTATGTTAATGAAATGTATAGACATAAAAAAAAGGGTTTTTTACATCGTATCGTAACTGGTGATGAGAATGGATAATTATGACAATCCAAAAAGAAAAAAATCATGGGGATTATACGCGTCAACATCAACAGCAAAACCGAATATTCAAAATAAACTTATGCTGTGTATATACTAGGTGTAGTGTATTATGAGTTGCTTAATCCGAGCGAAACAAAGATATCGAACACAATTGATGAGATTGACGAGCTCTGAAAGAAAAACGCCCTCAATACTATTCTAGACACGAAAAAATTATTCTTCTGCATGACAATGCTCGTCCACATGTTGCGGCTCCCGTAAAAAAGTACTTGGAAACACTTGATTGGGAAGTGTTACCCCACCCGCCGTATTCACCAGACATTGCACCGTCCGATTATCACCTGTTTCGGTCCATGGCACATGCTCTGACGAAGCGGTTTACATCTTATGAGGATACCAAAAATTGGGTTGATTCGTGGATTCAAAAGACAAATCTTCAGACGTGGAATTCGAATGCTGCCTGAGAGATGGGAAAAAGTGGTTGCAAGTGATGGGCAATATTTTATATAAATCTATATTACCGTTCTTCTATAATAAATATTTAATTTGTGTTAAAAAACGGCGGAAACTTATTTGTACTCCTAATATTTACTTTTTTATTTAATTAACTTTATTGACAAAAATAAAATAAAATACAAAAGGCGAATTTAATGCTACTAGCATTCTCTACCAGTTTACCTTTGGAATGAACAGTGAATCATGAATACGGTACTTCATTATAGGGATAGGTAAAAAAAAATAACAGTTAATAATGTATACTTATATACAATAAATAATACATACATAGAAAAAGAAAAAGACATAGGCTACATTTTATTCTATGAATATTTCCCAGTTACACGGACGAAGTCGCGAGTAAAAGCTAATAATGAATAAATTAATTTGGACACGATTGAAGTCTCAGTATTTTAAAAGAATAAGGTAGCCTGAAACTCTTGAGACTAGAGGGTGCTACCTTACAAGAGTAATAGTAATAAGATTTAGCTATTCCCTTAAATTTAAAATTATAAATTTTAATTTAAAATCAGAAAGAATACTTAGTGTAAAAAAATTAAAGTAAGTAACTATTTCACTGTCAACATCATTATTTTGGCTATTAATGTACATAATGAGTCTTGGCAACAGAGTATCAAAAAGCCTTAAGCCACCTTTACCTACCGACCCCCTGCAAATTAATTAAGGTTGCTCTATAAAAATAAAATTTATACTCTATGTAATAAGTTATGATCAAATTTACACATCGAAATACATAACCCCAGTAGCTCCAAATGTATAATATAATAAAGTTATAACACTTAAATTAATTAAGCAAAAATTTGAATTTAATATCCGATCTAAAAGGACCGATCGTAATAATGCTGACGATCAAGACTTTTTTTATCATCAAAAGAGCTTTAGCATGCAATATCACTTAGGGTTGCCAGTGAATTATTAACTGTTTTAACTTTTGTATTCCACGAATCTCTCTTTGTCCTACTAATTTAAAACAGAATTTTGGTACGTAATTTATTCATGCTTTTTCACGCACGTGATAATCTCAATACATAAAAATCCCTTGTCTACACTGATTTACAAAATAGCTCAACCGATATAAATGAAATTTTGTAAATATATATCGTTTACTCTAACTACAGAGATATGATAGCCTTTGTCCCTTGTTATAAGTGGCGCCATTGTCGTGATTTGTGCAACCGTGCGAAGTCGAAACGGGCAGCTGATTATTTTATAAACATTAATCTAGTGTTGTGACTGAATACGTTATAACGTAATTCGTTTTTTATCTTCAGGATATCGTAGGATACGATTTAAGGAATAAAACACAATACACTGCCATCTTACACTGTTAGAAGGTTAATAATATGAAAAGACCCAGGTTTCTCCTTACAAGATAAAGACATTAGACTCTTAAATTCAATTTTATTATCAACACATTAAAGTTAGAATTTAAATATCTTAATAATATGCCCTGGAGAAAAGAGATTGCTTATTTGGGTTTAAAATCTCCATTGCTAGCAATATATCCAGTTAGATTGACCTCCACCTGATTTCCCATGAAAATCATCGCGATTAATAATTGTTTAATTCTGCACGATAGACACATTATTCGTCCTCAACTATCATTCTTCACTAGTTCTCCGCACACACCATGCACATCTATAACGCAGACAGGATCACATTTTCATTTTTACTCATAAAAACAATATGCCGTTGGGGGGACGGGGATTGTTAGTAATGATTGGCTAGCAATATAGTTTATCAGGTCAACCTCCACTCGATCCTCTCTGGAGACCATCGTGGTTAATATCTGATGAATTTGTTACGACGGGATAATCGACCTGTTTTCTTCGTCACTAGTGCCTCACCAGCATATATCTACCGATAGCACAGACGGGATTACTATTCCATTATTATTCACAAAATAAAAGTACCGTTAATAATATACGATGATGATAAATATTGAGTGCTTGTATGAGTCTTAAACTACAATTTAAATTCCAGCTTTAATACGTAAACAATAAAATTGAAATTAATAGTATTGGCAATTTAAAGCTAAGACATAACTAATAGACAATTAGTATCCGAAGGCAACCCTAAGCAATACTCGGATAAAAGTGTTTTGATCGTTATTAATTGGATAAAATAATCGTGTAACGCGACACCGGCATCTAATTGGAGACATCGTTCGATATTAAGAGCAATAATAATATTTTATCGATACATATAATCGTTTGTTACCGAGCATCGAATGTAAATTCGGATCGGTGGGACTGACGATCTCTCAGTTGTTTTAATGTGAATAGGTCGGCCTCTCTCTAGGGGGTAAGAGATTATATTAATTAAAATTCTATATTATAATTTCCAATTTTAGATCAAATTTTAAATAGCTATACATTATGGTCTATCTTCAAGAAGTGGACAATAAATTTATTAGCAATGAAATAAGTTCATTGGCCGTGTGGTCCTGGGATAGAATAGGAAGGGGTGGCCTTCCTTTCCCGTGCGTGTCCTATGAGGTGACTAAGGGAGGGCGATGGATGGGCAACAGCGTCCTTCTTAAAACATGTCTAAAGCCTAACTGCAGTTGCCAACTCGCCTACCAAACGTGACAGCTACTGGTAAAACTCCCCAAGGGAAAAGCTAATGTTCGGCAGTGGACAGCTAAAGGCTAATATGATGATGATGATGAAATAAAACCACAGTCCACTACTGAATCACATTTAAACTCCAGAGAGGATTTGAATGATTTGAATTGATTTTGACACATATACATATATCCTAAATTACCACATTTGTTTGATATATGAAATTAATAAGCGAATATTTATATACATGTAGGTACATGTCTGAAACAATTACAATATCTATTATAATAATATTGATAAGATAGTCTTAATAAAATCAATACACACCAAAACAATGATATTAAAAAATTTTGTCTGTCTGTATGATTGTACTAGCATTATGCAAAAACTACAGCACCAAATTGGATATGATTTTCACAGTTATGTTCCTAAAAATCTAACAAAAACTGGTGTACGTTTTATTTTGATACGGCATCTAGAAGTAGCTATTTCTTTAATATTCCTACTTCTGATATTAAGTTTACGCGAAGACTTCTTGGTAATCGTTGAAGATAATAAACTCTATTGGGCAAAATACTATTTTAGTATAATCATAAAAAACTATGTAATTTGGCAATGCGATAGTAATTACACATATGTATATATATGCATATATTTATTTAAATACAAGATATTCTACTTTCTGTCTACTCCGCAAGAGACTTGGCGTGAAGATATTTTAAACAGGGTATGTAATATATATATATAATAATTTAAATAATTTAAACCTCACACCCTCTCTTTTACTACTGCATTAATACAATAAATTTAACTCCCAAGTAAAAACAATTACACATTATCCCTAACCGTTAACCCAAAACTTGTTAGAGCCACAAGTGCTATAACTATTGGTATAAAATAGTACTATATTGGGTAATTCAAAAGCATACAAAATATAGTATCAAAACTAGTAAAGCCACATAGAAATTTCGAGAGCAATTTTTGGTATAAATTAACAAAATAAACGGTAGTTACGGTACAATGGGTAAGCAGACTATAATCTGTCTAGACAGTTTTGAACGCAAATATGGTGTTCGCGTATATTATATTATGTTCACTATTATCAATATGCTTTATAATAAGTTTCAGAGTATCTATTTCATGTAATCCTTAGTGATATCATAAAAGGGAGAGAGCAGACTGTAATGTATATATATATATATATATATATATATATATATATATATATATATATATATATATATATATATATATATATATATATATATATATATATATATATGCATGCATGCATATAAAACCGTTAACAGTACAGTGAACTAGATAAAACTAAGAATCTACATATGCTAAAACATAATAGGACGGGGATAATGTTAATTAAAAACACAAAAACAACAAAAATATTTGAATCTCCCGGGGATTGTAAGGATCAAGATTTGTATGTCATTTTCAACCGATTCTAAAATAAAGACGTTCTCAGTTCAGTTATACTTTTTTACGTTTGTTACCTCATAACTCCATCATTTATAAAATGATTTGAAAAATTCCTTTGTTTATCTAAAAAGATATACTTTCAGATTGGTCCTATAAAAATTTTAACTAGATCGATTACTGGTTTGTCCAAAATTGAAGTAAATTTTTTTGTTTAACACGATCTCAATTTTCTCTTTTATGTGTATGTTCATCTATGCTTAATCTATCCATGTTATTTGTGTATATTAAGTAGATATAAATAGATTATCTACCTATTTAGTCTCTAGACAAAGTCTCGTTAGAAATAAGACAAGGTGCCCTAGACAAGTGGTAAAAGAATCCATCAATGGAATAATTATAGCTAGCGAATCCATAAGTTGGAATGAGACATCAGATATCACTATCTCATTCTATCTCACAGACTTGCTAGCGGTAACGATGCCATTGATGAATTCCATTGCCCCTTGTTTAGAGGGTCTGATGATGAATAGAAAAGACTTACCTGCTATGTAAAACCCGCAAACTCCTCGTCGACATGCAATTGACGCTCCAGTCAGTGTTCCCATGGTCGTTACAGATGGTGATCGAGAACCTTCCATAGTTGGCTCGTATCAAATGTATCACTGAGCCCTCCCCGCAGCCAATTTTAAGCGTTTTGCCTTCACACGCGTACGCAGTCTCGTATCTTGGTTCTGAAAACAAAAAGGCAATGTTTAATCACAATTCTTACTAATGGTACGTGAAAGTCAGTTTATTTGTTACATCTTAGCGCCGTAACGACTCTGTCACTCGTTTTAAAATTGGTTCTCGTATATTAGATGGAGGAGAGGATTAGATACTTTTTATGCCCGTCAATCTTAATGATTGAATGTCGAAAACAAGTATTAATATAATAAAAAAAAATTAAAGTATGTTAATTAAAAAAAATAATCCTTACTAAACGTGAAATAAAATTCGTTTGTTTGTAACCTTGTAGCGCCTTAACTTCGCGACCTATCGTCATGAAAGGATACAAATATTTTGGCTTGAAAAAGGACAAAAACCACTTTTCTTCTGACCAGAAGCAGTCGCGGGCACTGGATAGTCCAAGAAGAAAATTAATTCATCTCCTTAGGTTATTATATGGATAATGTTATTTCGGGATCTATTTAATAATAAAAAAATAAGATACAGTAACGAAAACATATAATTAAATGAAATACAATGCTCGTTACACGACAGTTCAGTAATTATTTTTTTTTTAATCAAAACCGATCGTTTTAGGTAAATTTTATTGACGTGTGATTGTAACCCACACATTACAATTCCATTGGTAATTTATAACTGACGTTAATTTTTACAGTAATATGTATAATAGACGCCTTACAAGAAAATTATTTAATATAATCAAAACATAATTAGATAATATTTAAATCTTATAATTGATATTCTTAATGTAAACGAGTTATATAAATAATTAGTTAAATTAACGAAATTTAATTATACATTCATAATGAAAATCCAATTATGGGAGTCGAAATTTTCCTTAACGAAGTAAAATCAAATCAATAATAAGCTGAAACATTAAAATTGAAATTACCTACTTGTTTACAACTTGATAGCTTCTTCAGAACGAAATTGTTTTCTTATAATAAGAACCAGTAATTTAAGCAGAACTATAACTAATACTACATATACATGTTCACTATTAAAACGAATAGAAACAATACAATAACAAATATTCCAATTTCACTGGCACCAGATTCATCAATCTTTTCATGCAATAACTAGAAATAAATCCGATCCGGTCGTTCCCATATTGTTGATCCGATCAGCCATTTAATGAATGAATACCATTCAAAACAAACATCCAAACGGAAGACAAAACCGATAAAACTGTCGACTCAACATTTCATAATCAATATCTGTACATTTCTAGTGGAGTACGAAATTATTGACGATCACTTGGTACAGTGCGCATCGACGCGCGTATTCTTATACGCCGTTTCCTCTTCTAAGTAAAAGCGCAATGGACTAGTGAACGGGGAAATTTATCTTGGTGTTATAATAGGCAAAATAACGGGGTGTAAGGTGTGCATATTCTAAGGATCCGGTATAATAAATCTGGGCAAATTAATGACGGTACTGACAGATCGTTTATGCGTTTTCGCCGACTCATACCGTGGAATGAACGAGGGCACCTTATAATATAAAGCGATAGAGTAAATCAGATATGTATGAGGGTATAAGCGAACGTTCAGACAAAAGTGCTAATTTCAAAACAATATCGCATTATATAAACATATGTATACCTATTTAACTTACCAGATATGAGGTAAATTTTAGCATTTAAGTAATTAACACACAATTGATATTATTATTAGCATAATTTTATAAATCGAATATATATATATATATATATATATATATATATATATATATATATATATTGCATTCACATCTAGCCAACCAACTCAATCAACACATTGGTGCCACTCAGCCCAAAAGAACATGGCATATAGCTGAGTGGCCGTTTTATTAATTTTCTTTTTATATTTGTTTATTTTTGTTTACTGTTAAATTTTTTGTTTTGTAATTATTTGTGAAATTAAACACTAAATAAATATTTCTTTCTTTTCTTCTTAACAATTGAGGCACAAAAGTAAGAGATTTTCAAATCGTTTTTATTTTTGAGAATACGTGCACTTTGTACAATTGATATAGTTTACAGCCGTGTTGTTCTTATATTAATTTTGTAAGTATTAAAACCGTTGCTTTCTTTGTTGCGTTTTTTAATCACAATTAATATATGTTTTATTATAAAAGAGATTTTAATCTATACATTGTGTGCACCGCAGAATTATCAGGAACAATTAATTCATTGAAATATTAAAAACGTATGAAAATCAATTTAAACAGAAAATTCGAGAGAAATTTTAATATCGCTACAGATTATCCATAATCCCCTTGTCCTCGCAATAATTATTTTAACCTTTAATACTTTAAACATGAGGCGAACGTTTATAATTTTCAATAACCTGCGTCGTAATGTAGTCAAGTCATTATTGTATTGTATAATTTTATCACGATTTCAAAATAAAATGCTACAATACGTAAAGATATACATTATTATTTCAGCCTACAACCGTCCACTGGTGGACATAAGCCTTCCCTTTCTTCATAAGGGAGTTTTGCCAGTAGTTGCACGCTTGGCAGGCGGGCTGGCAACCGCAGTTAGGCTTTTAAAAATGTTTTAAGAGGGACGCTGTTGCCTATCCCTCGCCATCCCTTAGTCGCCTCTTACGACACCCACGGGAAAAGAAGGGACAGCCCATTCTGTGCCGAGGCACACACATAAAGATATACTATATACATTAAAAAATAATTTAAATTATAAAGTATACAGATTGGTAATAAGAAGGAAAAAACACAATAACATGTACGTTAAAGCGAGATAGACGAGTAGGACACTCACCTATTCAATATAAGCTCGAAGTTGATTTAAGGGGAATATGAACAATTTCTTATTATTTTTACGTATTGAAGTGGAATTAGTTTTAATTGAATGTAGTTATGTTCGAATTAAGTATATTGTACTTGGATACAATATAAATTAGAGATAAAAACTACAAAATTGTACATTTTTTACATCGTTGAGTTTAATTAAACAAAAACATATCTAATTTTATCAAAATACAGTTCTGAACGTCCACGAATTTAAATTAAAATAAAAAAAATAAGTAAACATTTGCTATTTTTGAAGTTTCAAACAACAAACATACAAATTCATACAATTATATATAATATACAAATACAATATTCATACATGGGGGTATCATGGGCGAAACAGTATGCACTATTATGTCTATATTACTCATGTCTTGTGACGATTACCACTTTCCATCAAGTGGGCCGTCAGCTTGTTTTTCATTTTAAGTTACATAAAAAAAACAAAAACTGTTGCACGCACACATTTACTTTATACGCACACTCGTGTAACTAATACCTTGTTATCTACGTCGATGTTTTTAATAGACAATTATGATTGCCAATTATTTTCAACGTATGAAAACAGTTGACAATCATATAAGTTTTTTTTTTTATACTATAGCATCAAAGCGGCGAATTTTCATTATTTATGCAATAACATTATAATGGGACTTCACTTGAAATGATGGCGTAACAGTTATTACTACATAATAAGAGTTTACGTACTCAAGTATCTACTTCATACAAACAAAGCGAATCCATATATTATTTAAAAACCTTGTTCTTCGTGAGTAGCTAAATACTGTTATTATGTAGTTGAAAACATAAGGGCTTATAAATAAGTCTAGTCGCTTGCTAATGGACGTATCGATGTGCCCTTTTATGGATTTGACACTACATTGTTTTTGTATGTAACTGTCATGAATTAATGACAAAGTAGCTAAAAGTCCAATGTATGGAAATTAGTAACTATCACCTACATACAATAAACACTGTTGTCAACACAGTAATAGACTGCGCATGGCTCTCAAGTGTTGCCATTTCTAAGGACTAATTAGTTGGTTGCTTGATTAGAATTATTTATTAAATTATTATGATTAATATCTAGCTAATATTAGCGACCAGTCGACGACACTATTTACATTTGATTATATGCTTTTTTTATACAGATTTCCTTTTAGAGTATTTTAATTGGCAATTTTAATTTTATACTTTTTGACAACGCCTCTTCTTTTTTGCTTGGTCGCTATTCAATGTATCTTCCTCTGCTAAAGTCCTTTATCACCTCATCATATTTTCATTTTATATTTTCCATTAATTTTTGAGAAATATTGTATGGATTTGTGATTAAATTACAAAACGATCAATAGTTACAGTTACCGAGTACCTAACTAACTTCTTTTTTATCAATGCAGTATATATAGTGTACATGCAAAGCTGTAATTTATACCGATTATAGAGATCGAATCGATTCGCGAAAAACTATTTTAAATCTTTCTAAAATATCGCCTCGGTATCACCGACTAAATCGCCAGTCACCCCCCTAATAGTGGGGTGTGGGGTGTGGGGGATAATAAAAATGATTTATACGAGATGCCCAGTCCTCCTTGTTATGAAGGGTCGAAAACAATTTACAAGATATTCTGTTAAAGGGTGTACGATAATTATTTTTTGGAAAGGAATGTGTTAAGAATTTGCTAGTGACAGGGGAATTTATGACTCCAATTTTGATGGTATACGCATTGTTGGACTATTTACATTTTTCTTTATACTTAATTGATATTTAATCAAAGAAGCAGACATCAATTTGAATATAATTAGAATGGAGGCAAGCTGAAATACTCATGGATTGAATAAAAAATATTAAAATTTATTCATAACAGGCGAATGATTTCTCAGTTGATAATTTATCAATATTGTTCAAATTAGTTTGTATAATGTAAGGTGTAAATTTAATTTCATTAAAAAAAAGAATCATAGAACTGTACGTCGATATCGCATACTTCATACATACAAAAAAAAAATGCATTCAAATTCAGAATATCCTCTTAAAGGTTAAATTGACTTAAAAAAGAAGCATGTATTTTTAATTATTTTTACACTTTAGTCGTTATTTTTAGAATTTCTTTCTATTATAAATGATTGTTAATTAAAAACAAAATCGAATCGCTTACGTTTAATAAAAGTCCATTAAAAAACGATCACTAACCTGTATATAGATGCT